GTATCTTCAACCAAGTCCAGTTGCCCTTGACTTTAACCTTTGTTGGATAACTATGACCTGGATGACTGAGAATCTTCATAGACAATGTTACACTGGTTTGAGAGTCTGCGGGATGTGTTGACTTACAGTAGTTAATAAGCTGTGATGCATTGCACATTACATGGTTGAGCTCTGTAAGTCAAAAATAGGTTACAGAATTCCTTATAGCGAAGCAGCCTGGATTTAATGCAGCAGGTGATACAACATTCATTATAACCAAGAGTGACTTGAGACTTGACTTGGACTCTAGCTCAAAGGTGCAGAGACTTGACTTGGACTCTAGCTCAAAGGTGCAGAGACTTGACTTGGACTCTAGCTCAGAGACTTGAGACTTGACTTGGACTCTAGCTCAGAGACTTGAGACTTGACTTGAACTCTAGCTCAGAGACTTGACTTGGACTCTAGTGCAGAGACTTGACTTGGACTCTAGTGCAGAGACTTGACTTGGACTCTAGCTCAGAGACTTGATTTGGACTCTAGCTCACAGACTTGAGACTTGACTTGGAATCTAGCTCAGAGACTTGAGACTTGATTTGGACTCTAGCTGAGAGACTTGAGACTTGATTTGGACTCTAGCTGAGAGACTTGAGACTTGACTTGGACTCTAGCTCAGAGACTTGACTTGGACTCTAGCTCAGAGACTTGACTTGGACTCTAGCTCAGAGACTTGACTTGGACTCTAGTGCAGAGACTTGACTTGGACTCTAGCTCACAGACTTGAGACTTGACTTGGAATCTAGCTCAGAGACTTGAGACTTGATTTGGACTCTAGCTGAGAGACTTGACTTGGACTCTAGCTCAATGGTGCAGAGACTTGACTTGGACTCTAGCTCAGAGACTTGACTTGGACTCTAGCTCAGAGACTTGAGACTTGACTTGGACTCTAGCTCAGAGACTTGACTTGGACTCTAGCTCAGAGACTTGACTTGGACTCTAGCTCAGAGACTTGACTTGGACTCTAGTGCAGAGACTTGACTTGGACTCTAGCTCAGAGACTTGAGATTTGATTTGGACTCTAGCTCAGAGACTTGACTTGGACTCTAGCTCAGAGACTTGAGACTTGATTTGGACTCTAGCTCAGAGACTTGAGACTTGACTTGGACTCTAGCTCAGAGACATGACTTGGATTCTAGCTCAGAGACTTGAGACTTGACTTGGACTCTAGCTCAGAGACTTGTGAGCATCTGTGCCACCACCACCACACTGCCACACCAATATATGACCAATTTGGGCGCCCTGTATCAGCAGATTTTGGAGGCATCAATAACATCATCAATAACTGCATTCTTCTACCTGTTGCAGGAAACGTAGAGTCATGTTAGACCACCTTCCTCCCTGTAGGGATTTATTTTGCCTCAGTGATTACATTTCACTACTGTTTTTGTCAGACTGAGCCTCACTCTTCAGCACTAGCTCAACCATAGGACTAGAAGAAACGTTGGACTATCGGTGAGGCCCAAAGATGATGGTGGCTGGCATGTCAGTTTTTCAGGGCAAGATATCTCCATAAAATTAGCTGCGAGTATTGAAATTGATATTGCTAGTTTCTGTCAACCCTTTTATTGTCCTTTGTCTTACTTTTGCTTAGGAGATGATGATGCTTTGTGTTTAAACTACAGTTACTATAATTCTGTGGTTTTGGGGGGATGGAAACAGGAAGTAAAACATTGTGATGGAGTCACTCAACTTGAGGCCCATTTTTCCGGCCTGTATTTGTTTACATTTTGCCACCATTTAGCACCTTAGCAGTTCCTGTTTTCAGTGTACCGATGGAAAGTGAGGTCGAATGCATAGACTGAAAAAGCATTGTGGAAAAAAGAGGAACTACAGACGCCCGGTTCGTCTTCTGCTCCTGTAATGGACTTACCCCATTTCTCTCTCTCTTTTCTTCGTTGTCCTGAGGCCTCCCTCGTCCCGCCTCCCCATCTCTTTTTCCATCTGGCCTGTCCTCCGATGAATCAAGCCATCTTCCTCATTCTCCTCCCTGCTCTCTTTCTCCCTGATTTCACCCATCACCCGAGGCAGTGATGGCGTGCAACCACGTCCTTATTCTTCTTTGTTGTTTCACTCACTCAGTTACTTACAGCATCAGAAGCAGGGATTCACTTTTTGTTTTCGTTTGTTTCATCTCGTCTGAATGAAAAAGCCGTCATTATATTCTCACCTCTAGTGTTTTTTTTTTTGGTCTGTGGGTTGTGGTCCATGGAGACATTTTGTGTGTCATGGAAATGATTTATAATTAATTTATTAAAAAAAATTCTGTTTGCATCAGTCTGTACTGAAGTAGCAGGAAAATGGATATGCAAATGGAAAAGAGAGTTGCCCTTTGAAATGCCTGATTAAAACCTGAACCCTTAATTTAATTTTAATCAATTTATTATTTATTTCTCATTTCATTTTTAATTGATTTTTAATTTATTTAATGTTTTTATTATTTTTATTTGACATTCATAGATAGATGCATATATTGTAAATTATTTTCATAATTATTTTTTATTGCCCATTTAAACTTAAATTAATTTAATATGTAATGTAGTATTGTAATAGTAATGTACTGTTTAGATTATCCATCCATCTTCATCCGCTTATCCGGGGTCGGGTCACGGGGGCAGCAGCTCCAGCAGGGGAAAACTTCTCTTTCCCAAGCCACATTAACCAGCTCTGACTGGGGGATCCCGAGGCGTTCCCAGGCCAGTGTGGAGATACAATCTCTCCACCTAGTCCTGGGTCTTCCCTGAGGCCTCCTCCCAGCTGGACGTGCCTGGAACACCTCCCTAGGGAGGCGTCCAGGACTATTTAGATTAATTAACTTTTATTATTTCATGTTTTTGTTGTCTAATAAGATTGTCATTTTTCCCAAATGAAACCATTGTCTTCCATTGAACCCTACATAATGTGTGATGAACGTGATCCTTAAACAAAGCCCATAGCTCCTAAGGCAGCCCTGGTGATAAAAGAAATATAAGTGAACAATTACCTGCTGCCTGCGAGCCCTATTTGGTTTCATTTAAAACCCCTTCCCTATTCATTCTTGTGTTACTTATTTGAAGAGGCATTTGCTCGTTTTTTTTTCTCCATTAAATCCTGAGGCTTGTGAAAACAGTACCGCCACACTGTTATCTTTTCATTCAGCTATTCAAATGAGTCCATCGCATGACTGAGCAAAAAACTCTGGCAGTTTAACCTCAACTCCAGGAGGGTCTGTATGACAAAGCTACCAAATAATGACGCAGTGTGAGATGAGAGATGACATCAGTTGGTGGCGATTGTAATCCCACGAACAGCCAATCACCAACATGCATTATTGATGACAGCCCCTCCTTTGAAAGCAGCTGCTCGTCTGTTGATCCAGCTTCTCTCTAATGGCACACGAGTGCCATAAAAACAAATGCTCGTGCCTCCTTGACAAATGAGCAATTGCACCACAGTTTGACCTTGGAGATGTCAGAATGAAGCCCTGTCCTGCAGTTTCATTGGTTTATGTACAAAGCCACTTTTAAAGGTACAGACAGAAGGGAAACGAAAGGGGGGTGAAGGGACAGGACAGAGAGAGAAGGCAGGTGGAAAGAAATGTTTCCACCCTCCTCCCCTCTGCTTCGCTGTTTCGGTAGCGGAGCGTAACTTACAAGAAAGGCTGAGGGAAAACCTTCCAACTCATAAAAGTTGTCCTGTCTTAATAGTCTAACCTGTAATATTTCTCTCCCATAGACACTGTAGCACTGAATCGATTCTCAAAAATACAGAACACAGCGTGTCCCGTATCAGTTCAATACAGAACTAATAGTTTCAAATTATGGGACGAATCCTTATTTTATAGGGTGGTTGACAACCGTAGCTACAACAGTTATTTTCATGTGCAGTTTTAATCAGGAGATTATTTTCTCTATTAGTCGATTAGTAATTTGATCTATAAAATATGAGAACACATCACAATTTCTCAAAGCCAAGTTGACATATTTAAATTAGGGCTGCAGCTAACGATGATTTTAGTATTCAAAGCTTCTATAGATTATTTCAACGATTCATCGATGAGTCGGTTAAGAAGTACTTTTGCTTGGCGGCAGCTCGCGCAGACTACACGACTCAGCGTTGGCCGATGGCCGTGTCGTTCAGACTACACAACTTGCCGTCATGTGACGGGAGTCTTGAAATTGTTGTGGCGTTCACACTACGTGACTGATCGGTGACAGTGGGTCACACACTACACGAGCTGACAGCAGCTCTGTCACCCGACGCTGGTCTCCAAACCACGTTTTATCAAGAAAACACGTGAAATGTGAAACGTGAAATGACGCAAACCTACACACGAAACAGCTGTTGTTTGTTATTATAAAGACAAAGAATCTGGGTGAAAGGATGGATTAGCACAGGCAGCTAGCAGGGATTGTCTGAGCTACAGGGAGAGCTGGTAGAGGTGCAACTCCCCGACACCCAGTTAACTCTTGACTGTGAGGTTACAAAGGCGACACAAGTTTCGTTTTACGGTGGATGGACATCAACGTTACAGAGTTGTTGTTTTCTTTAGTTTGAAATAATCCCATACTTTGGACACTTTATTCTTAGTCGCTCGCAGCAATCTCGCGCAGCACTAGGCCACTTTTTAGTTGAACATTTGAACTTTCGGATGTTGTAAAGAATTAAATGTTCAAACTGTTCAGTTCGCCAGCCAAACCATCTTGGAAGTGACGTGTGGAAACATTGGAAATTTAATAAATTGTATATAAACTGCTTTACAGTAACGTTTGAATTAATTAGATCAAACTGTGTCTTAGTTCAAACTTTATTTTTTGAAAAACAGACAGCTTTTCCTTATATATTTCCTTATATATTTATATTTATTTTCAATGCCTTCAATCTAAACTTAACTTCAACCCAACTGTTAGAAGCTTTTCTGACTTCATTTGTTTTCAGTTTGGATAAACTTTTCTGGACAGTAGACTGAATGTGTTTGTTCTCTACAGATCCCCGGGGCGGCGATGGACCGAGTGAGCCTGCTGTGGCGTCTGAGGCGTCGGGCCCGCCGTGGAGTGCTCTGCATGGCCTTCTTCTGCATCTCCATGGCTCTGCTCTACGCTATCTGTGCTGAAAACAGCGTTCCCGTCACTGATGCCATCTTCGGGGTCCGGGCACGAACCCGGGCTCAGCCACGTACACACTCTGTCATCAAGGTCTGTTGCCATGTTTCATGTCACATTGGTTTTGTTAGCTGAATCGTGTATCCCAATTTTAAAAAACATTGATCCGGATCTGTCAAAACTTCACTTGGAGCCCCACTTATGTTTTTGCTTCTGTGTGAGTATTTGGGACAGTTTGCAGTGAAACAGGGCTGCAACGTAATCTTTGTGGGCGATTGCGCCCCATCAAATTATGTCCACTAGAGGGCTTGTTTTTGCCAATTATAAGTGTCTGACAACTTTATAGTTGGTTAACTAATGATTTTCATAGTCGACTAATGTGTCAATTATTTTTCGATTAGTTAACAATTATTTTTGTTACCCACTAACCCTAAACCATTACTAATTATACCAAGCATAACTAATTAAATCTATTTTAAGTGTATTACTGATATACCCCAACACACAAACTAACTAGCTACCACTAAGTGGGCGAGGTTTACTATTCAGAATGAACACTTGGTGTCAGCCAAAAAAACAGGAAAGAAGACGAGACAGGGTAAACTACTCCTATTATTTTAACTTACACATAATTTGTTTATGTATATTGGAGAATTATATAAAATAAAAGCAAATAAAAAGCAAGTACTCTAAACACAACTGGCTATCGCGACTCAGTGTCATGCAACTATCTATCTTTTTAACACTGATCTTAACTTTAGCTGTTTATATATTTACCAAATATACAAGCATGCATAAATTAACACTATTAAAGCTTTGCAAATCAAAAGGACTGATTACAAAGATTTACATTTACATTTATTCATTTAGCTGACGCTTTTATCCAAAGCGACTTACAATTGCTATACATGTCAGAGGTCACACACCTCTGGAGCAACTAGGGGTTAAGTGTCTCGCTCAGGAACACATTGGTAGATGGGCCACAGTGGGGAATTGAACCCGGGTCTTATCCATTGCGTCATCAAAACATTTTGTCATCACATAATGGATGCAGACCAAAGGCGAAGAGGATGCAGTTAAAATATTTCTTTAAACAAAATTTAACTGAAACAGGCTTCAAAAGAAGCACAAGGCAACAGTCCAAACCAAGGAGGAATCCAAAGGCAACGGAAATCCAACAACGAATGACACCCAAAAACCAGAAGTGAGATCCAAACAGAAGCAATTCGAGAGGTAATCCAGTAAGCGCATGGACAGGACAGGACAGAACACTCAACACAGACGAGGACGTAACAAAGACTGAACAGTACAAGCAAACATTTAAACACCAAGTAACGAGTTGGGCGGGACCAAAACCAGGTGGAGACAATCACAGACACACAGGCCAGCAGGTGAAACCAACTGAGGGGCCAGACAGGACCAGACCAAAATGAAGAAACACAAACTGAACACTCAATAGATGAAAACTAAACCGAACATGAAACAAGCAGACTGAACACCAAAGACAAACTAAACATAACAGGAAACAAGCACGCAAGACTAAACGCTGTCAAATAAAGAATCACCAGACAACCAACCAACACTTATTAGACAGAAAACTAAATAACACATATAAACTACAACCTAACAAGGAACGGAACACAAAGCAGACAAGACCGAAATAATAAAAACACAAAAGTACACAGACCCAGAGTAAACAGTAAAACATAAACCAAGGCACAGAATTTAAACGCAGGACTAAGAAGAAAAGAGACAAGACAGATACTAGTTAAGTAAACTAAACATGCGAATAAACAAAAGAAATAAACTAGGCTATAAAACACAAAACCATGAGAAGATCAAATAAAACTTACAAAAACACATAACCCAAAACTAATCTCATGAAAACAGATTAATTGGAAACAGCCACCCTTTTCCATGAAAAACGCCATATAACATACCAAAAATAAATCAGTAATATCTCCTCAACCATTTGGCCTAAATGCATAATCCTGGTCTCCTTTGAAAGGTCAGAAGCTAAGGAATATATATATAATCCATTGTAAATTAACATATTTATTTTAATATAGTTTAATGCAATAAACCATCAAAACCATCATAACATAGATTATAATGCAACTGAATCCCTTCTAAAACACCTGGAATGCAACTGTAACTGTGAATTTGATGAAAATAAACTAAAATACAACAGTTATCATACAGTATTTTCAAAACATACCAGGCGAATGTCCATATTTCGGCAATATTTACTGTTTAAATTTTGACTTTTATTAAGAGTTATCTTTAAAACACTATTTATGTCCATATAAGCACGTTCCAAATAACATAAAATTAAAATGTTGATAAAAACAGTGAATTTTCATTCCTGTCACCAAAACCACACCCATGCTTTACGATCCGGCTTGAGCAGACCTTTCTTTTGATGGATGTCTATGTAGCTCCAACTGGTCGGCCAGCAAATGCCAAAAAAGACTGTGTTTGAAAAATAGACAGTATATTACAGGACAAAGCCACCCCGCTGATTTGAATAGAGAGCAGTGAAGCCAGTTTTGGACCAATTAAACACTACTACAGGGTTACTTACTGTTGGCACCAGCGAGAAACACCGTGATTCTGGTAGCTGCATAGCTGCACCAACAAAACCAAACACCAAAGTAGCTTTACTGATGGACTTAAAACGGCATATAAGGGAAAAGTAAGTCAGCGGTTTTGACGATCGTGTCTGTGTTCAACTTTTAAGGTCCTGTTTCACATGCTTTCTTTAGTTTTGACCACGTCTGTTCCTGCTTGTGCAATCGAAACATAAGCAGGCAGAACATATGAACATTGTTTGTTCTTGTGGTTTTGTGGGAAAGGTCTTAGCAGCAGAGAGAGAGAGGCGGAGGGTTTTGTATTGTGCAAATAGGCTGTTGCTCATGCAAATTTAGACGTTTGATAAATACGGGCCATAAATGTTTGACTAACATGACTTGACATTGTCGCCCCCCTGACTTCGACAGGTGCTGCGAGGCGGAGCCAAGCCCATGTACAGTGACCCTCAGAAGCTTCCTGGGGTCGTCCCAGGTGACCCTCACCGTCCAATCCCTGTCCTGTCCTCTCCAAACCACACCCAGGAAACCGGGGACTCCTTGTCAAAGCGAAAGCAGAGAGAGCAGGAGCCCTCGGGGTTTTTGTCTCATCTGCTTCCGCGCCCCTTCACACGTGCGCTGGAGTCCCTGTTCGGAGGCCGGCGGAGGGGGGAGCTGAGTGGAAGGCGGGGGGGCGCAGAGTTCTTTGGGCCTCACGGGCTTTTGGGAGAGGTGTGGGATGACGAGATGTCCAGCAGCATGCTGGGAAGCAGACTGAGGAAAGTGGTGCAGAATTATCAGGTGAGAGTTTATTATTCGTTCAGGAGTAATATGAAGACAGAATTCTGAATTCCTGAGAAACAAACGCTGCATTTTTGAGAATAAATAACTACAGAATACGATGATTCCGGCATTTTTTCTGTTTTGTCCCTAATCTCCCTCCGTATCTCTGTTTTTCATGTGTTTCTATCAGGCGATGAATAAGTATGGAGTCGAGTTCTCCGGGCCTGGTGGTGTGTCCAGCAGGCCCAAGTTGAGTGGCCCCAAGCTTCTCTGCCAACTTAAGGACAAGGTAGAGGTCATGACTCTGACCTCTGACCTCCAGCCCTTCTTGTCACTGCCCTGGGCCTCCCAGCTGCCACCGAAGCAGCTGACCTCTGACCTCGGACCATACAAGAGCTGTGCGGTGGTGTCGTCAGCAGGGTCGCTCCGCAACTCTGGACTTGGCAAAGAGATCGGTGAGATATTCTTACATGGATGTTAAAGTAATGTGCAACTACATCTCCCTATATGAGAAAATAATGAAGGAGATCGAATTCACGTGGACACATTGGAGCCTATATCGTTTGTTATATCATAACTACTTCACAAAAGAACAAAGAGGCTGCCTTTAAATGTGTCTGTGGTCAGTTTACGCCATGGTTAATATCAGCGACGTAAGGTCGTTACAACAGCCCCAGTGCAGGCTGTTATGAGGGGCCCTAGTTGGGCTACACCATTACGAAGCACATGCACACACACTGCGTTTGTGTCTAGAAGGGAACCCTATATTGGCAAATTTGTGTGCCTTGTTTCCTCCTTTTGCACGGCCCTTTTGTCTTAAATCGATTTCTTTCCATATTAACATATTAAATTCAACAGTTCTCTTGTCGTACGTCTCTCTCCAACACATACGCTGCTGCTGCTGCTGCTGCTGCTGCTGCTGCTGCTGCTGGATGCAGCAGTCTAAAGTAAAGTAACATCACGTGATGGATTTTAGAGTCCGACTGTGTCACCTAGATTATATTATTATGTTTGCAAAGTTCTGTATATTTACAGTAGTCCACTGTGCTGAAATGACGCAGACTTTTTTCGGGCAATTTCAGTACAATAACCTCCCGAATCACGACAACCACATTCCTCTTCGACAGAGAGGCGAGACATCATATGGCGCACACACAGTTTAAAACCCACACAATTAAACAGGTCGGCCACACCAAATCCACTGAAAAAGCTCCTGTAAAGTTGCTCCCCTATTTGAAAGGCATCGGACGAGCCTGCATTGAGCAAAATCTTTGACAGTGTCTGCAGTAAAAAATCCTAAACAATCTTATCTGGAACGACAAAGGGGGAAATGCACATATGAGTGTATATATAGCGCTTGATCTTCATGCTAAAAACAGTTAGACGTGAATTGGGTGTTTACTGCCGATCAATGAGTCTCAACATGTTTTTACCATGTAACTGACAAAGTCCAGCTCGTACAGTGCGGACCGCCAGTGCAGCTGCACTGTCTGCACTATCTATACCTACAGCCCTGGTTAATATAAGTCACTCAGCTGCAGCATTAGTGCTGTTGAAAGGGTTACGTGTGGTTTAACTGTCCATGTCTTAAATCTCCCAAAGTTATGGTCATGACAGGTCTTGAAATAAAATCCCCAGTCCTCAATGACTGAGTTCAAATGCAGTCGAGTCCGAGACGAGACCAGGACCATCAAAAAGTGGTCTCAAGACCGGTATCGTGTACAAATCAGAACGAAAACAGGAAGAAATGAACAGTTTGTTAACTGCAAGGTTGTCTCAAGTAACCTTATAAATTTCAGTAAAACAAGACTCTGTGTTTGTGCTTCAGGTGCATGTTTTAGATATTATTGTTGTAAAAAATAAACCAGTTGGATTGCCTGATTGAAATAACCTATTTATTTCAAGGCTCTCTGTAGCACTTTTCTGAAATCTTTGAGGTGACATTATGTAAAAAACCCTCTCACAACATGTTACCACATTTAGACACGGAAATGTGTTCAGAAAGTTTCACTTCTCTTTGTGTTAAATTATAGATTCACATGATGCTGTGCTGCGTTTCAACGCCGCGCCCACCACCGGGTACGAGAAGGACGTTGGTTGTAAAACCACCATCCGCCTCATCAACTCACAGGTAAACGCACTGACCTGCCGAAGGACAGTTTGTAAATATATAATATAATAATAATATATCACAACACAGCGCTGTATCTGCCTAAATCCAAGATAACCTTCATGCCTCTTAGTTAAAACTGGTGTTTTTAATTTATGTTGTAGAGCAAATTGTTTCCAGTCTTATATGTACCACTGAGATTACATTCTGCCTAAACTGAAAAGAGGTGAGGAGGAACCATTGAAATGTTATATGCCAAACTCCATTCTCTCCCCATGTTTAAGATCTCTACACAGCAAAAATGGCAAAACAGAATATGTGGATGGATTTTTTATGAACTGTTCGCTGCTACGCTTCTACCCTGAAACACCCTCACAATGGCACAAGGGCATCGCTTTAGTCAGTCTATTTATTATTATTTTTTTACGCCTTTGGGTCGCCCATCTCTCTGTGCATTCATGTGGTGCTGGAATAATTGGAAAAATGATATCACATAAAGGTTTTGGACATGAATTGACGAGTTGGAAACATGGCGGACAACATGGCCGATGGTTAAAAAAGTTAGATTATTGGTGCGAAATCACGTATTGCATTTTGTGTCATTTTTAATACGGTATTAGGTTAGTGTGCTGTCAATGTAGACTGATCTGAATTAGTTAGGGAAGTTATTTATTTGCAGTATTTGCAATACAATTTTAGTGATTTCAGGTAATGTACCGGTGCAGTAACAACTGTCAACTGACTTCAAACTGTTTCAGCATACTTGGATGACAAAGGCAGTCCAACACGTCAATGTTGTTTCCACATTCCAACTTTAAAGCACAGCCGTCTGAGGAGCACGAGAATGCACCGTCTGTGTCATTTGAAAAATGTCAGTAATGCTCCATCGTAACACTCTGACCTGTTGATAATTCCTGAACTGCAGCTCGTTTGAACGGGGCACTAAAATGCACACGTGAGGACACATTGTAGCGGGGCTAAGACGCTTAAATTCTGCGTTCTCTGACAGATTACGGTTGCAAATCTGCTGCGATAAACACTCCTATAGGATTAGTTATTATTACTTTGGCACGGTCAAAGTCTGCAGCGAGAAGCTGCCTGAATGGTGTTGGGGGGACAAGGAACAAATGGCTTGAGACCGTGGATTTTTATATTGCAGATTCAGTCTTTGTTTCAGAACCGTTACACGCAAAGTCCACTGAATCCGCCTGCGTCGCGTTACGGCTGCGCCGCAGTTGCCTGAGATTATCTCTGCCATTCTAGTCAATGCCTGTGAGTCCAATAGACGCGGCCGCAGCGCGTCCCAGAAGCGTCCTAGACCAGAATAGGTAGCCAGTAGGGCTGGGCGGTATATCGGTATAATGAGGTATAACGATATAATTTCAAATTAGACAATACCGTTAATACCAGTATAGTTTGATGTTTAGTTTATTAATATGTTTCGTAAAGTCCTGCCAGCGTTTGCTTCTCTCTCTCTCCCTCTACGTCTGCACGCAGCCGTCTACTCACAAACTCTCAACAACATGGAGGGAGACACAGAGCCGGTGGTGTTTCACACACATACACGTTACTTTGGCGGGCTGCCCAGGTATATTTGGCGACACATTGTAGCATTTATCAGAGAAACACGGAGTGATTACGTTACAAGCCGCGACACAATATTTTAGAAGCGGACACACTAATGTAGATGTAATTCTTTAGCTACCACGTTGGTTTTGTTTTTTTAAAGGCTAATATGCGGCGCAGCTGCTGCTGTGAACAGAATCGCGGGAGGAAAACTCCAGAAAACAAGTTCTGGTTTTTGTTTTGTTTTTTCGGCAACTTTATACAATGCAGACTACCGCTGATGGAGAAAGTCACAGAGGAGCAGACATACAGGAAGTGACGGAAAGAGCGCTGACGTGTTTGCAGCAGAGGTACGTTAGGTCTGTGAGGTGAAGAGAACTGGAGGAGGCAGATTCAGTAAGTGAGTAACACTTAAATAAGTTAGAGAATAAAGTATAATTAAAACAAGCTAAGTTAGTACAAATAGTAAAAACATTGCCCTAAAACCGACAAAACAACAATACACACAGTTAAAACAGACAAAAAACCCATTTAACTATGTAGCCTACTTAATAATTGAAGAAGCACAATAAACACCCCTAGTCAGCATCTGATCTTTTTTTCCCCCCACAGTTGTATTTATATATATGGATTATACATGCATTTGTTTTTCAGGTGATGGCGTCCGATGACCATCGTTTCCTGTCCAGCTCTCTGTACAGCTCAGGTGCTCTGGTAGCCTGGGACCCCGCCCCCTTCTCTGCTAACCTCACTCAGGTGAGTTTATATCATGCTGCATTCATAGATAAAAGGGGACTTTTATAGTTAGAAAACTCCGGAAATCGCCGACTCGGATTTAGTCCCTGCTCGTAGGACTTGTTGATGACACGCTGAATGCGTGTGATAAAACTCAAACCCCATGAGGGGTGTAAAAAGGAAGTATAATCTGCCAGTTGTGTACAGATACCAGAATGGAAATCTGCAGCTCAGCACAATGTTTTCAACAGAAGGCTAAAAACCACTATGTGCCCCCCGCTCTGCAGTGGTACAACAAGACAGACTATCCCATCTTCACCCAGTACCAGAGATACAGGAGGCTTCATCCCATGCAGCCGTTCTACATCCTGCATCCTCGCTTTGAGTGGCAGGTCTGGCAGCGAATACAAGACAACATGGCCGAGCCCATCCAGAGGAACCCACCCTCATCCGGCCTTCTCGGTAAGTCAGCACTCTCACCACTTCCTGTTTATAACACATCCAGTGCACACAAAAGTGATGTTTTTATTGGAAGTGTGTGGGCTGGACTGAAGTTAAGCTTTAAGATTTGCCATAATTTAAAAAAAAATAAATCACTGTATTGAAAACTAGGCATGTCCTGATAAAGTTTTTTTTGGTACCCATATCCTGATACAGGGTTAGGGAGTCTGATTCAATACTTAAATTTACCTAAATGTTGATTAAATTAACAGATCACACATTGAAGTAACACCTTGTTTTTCACGACCCACTTGATCCAAATCCTGAAGGCACTGGTTCAAAACTATATAAAGTTGATAAGCTTTAAATTATTGATACTACGAATTAAAGTACAACTCGGAGAATGTGAAAATGACGTGACACGATCAGAATCACTTTTATTGGCCAGGTATTTACACACATACGAGTAATTTGACTCCAGTTTTACATTGCTCTCAATGTACACACACAGAATACACACGGTAGCTTTAATCTTCGGATTCTATTCGTTCAACTTACAAAGTAAATTTCTAGTTAAACTGAGGACAGATTAGTGCAGCTGTGTTCAGGAGGGTGAGTGAGAAAGAGAGAGGGACGAGCGAGAGGATGTGCTGCGCGAAAAATAATAATAATAATTAGTCCTAGTAAAAAAAATCGAAAATCAATCTGTGGCGGTCAGCATTGATATTGTGGCCGGGGCCGCCACAAATAAATGAATGGGTTACAATTTGGGATTTATTTACACACTTTAAAAACATTTATTGAGAGTTTTATTCTTTTTACATGTTTATTTACAGCATTAAACGTTGAAATGTACATTGTAATAGGCTGTATATTAACTTATTGGGAGGAAACTGGTAGTTCTATGTAAAATCACCCCCATATCGCCAAAATGGCGTGACCTTTGTTTCGCTGCAAAGCTTCGACTGCGAGATTGACAGTTGAATCAGGCTCCGTCCATCGAAGCATCGAATCTTTGACTATTAGGGGTCAGCCCTACCGGAAAGGTTTTATTTTGGCCTGTAATCAAGTTACTCACACGTTTGGTGGTGGTGATGGCGCAGTGGATAAGTGCCAGTGACTTCAGACTTCGGCTAAAAATGACAAGCTGCTACCTGAATGTTTTATTTATCAAGCTGAGAGAGGAGAGATAACAGTTTTGTTACAGCGTTCAGCAGATTTGTGTATTTTACCAACTGAACAAAGTCCATCACCTCTAATCTACACGCTCATGTACAGTGAAATGCCCAGATTGAATTAACCTTGAAACCCGATCCTCACTGTAGACTCTTCTTGTGTCAGAATAACATTATAGCATGTTTTTAAAAAAGCCTCCTCTCCTTTCTATCCTGCCCAGGCACCATCCTGATGATGTCGCTGTGCGAGGTGGTGCACGTTTACGAGTTCCTGCCATCCCGGAGGAAGACAGAGCTCTGCCATTATTACCAGCGTTTCTTCGACGCCGCCTGCACGCTCGGCGCCTACCACCCTCTGCTGTACGAGAAGAACCTGGTGAAACGGATGAACCAGGGGTCCGACCGCGACATCTACACACATGGACGTGTCACGCTGCCTGGGTTCAGCAAGCTGAACTGCACCCAGGCTGCTGGAGATGGACCGAACCACTGACTGGAAAATACAGAAGCAGTGAAGCAAAAATGCACATACACTCAACCCGAAGCGAGTCCTGCATGAAGACACGTAACAATGAGGACAGATGCATGAAAACTTCATACTCACTGCCGTACCTAAAGCCACTCACTATAAATATTATATGTTATTATTGTTATAGACTGTAAACAATGGAAAACACACATTTCTTTTTCATAGCACACCCACACACACTGATAGATGTGCCTGCTGTTCACGTATACATATCCTTATGAGGACATTCCACTGATAAGGTTTATCCCCGAGCCCTTAAAGGACCATACCACTGCTTTTTTAAAGGTTTTAGCCAGTTATTAAAAAATCATGTACGCTTGATTACACTCAATCATACTTGATAAATGGTGTTTAAGTAAAATCCATTAGCCAAGTATTTTCCAAAGCAAATCCCACAACAAGACAAAAACCAAACCTCTCAAAACATTCTGACTTCCTGTCTGTGGCTCTCAGCTCTAAGCCCATTGGTTCCAACTGAAGGTGTAAACCTTTACAAACAGCTCGAACATATATAGTTGAATCTTTATAAAAGACTCAAAACAGGAGGCAATAGTGCATGTGTTGGGGGCTATTTCTAGCAGCGAATTAATCCACATGTGGCGCTCTAATGAGTAAGGATGGGTATTAAACAGGCACCAGTGCTACATTTTTAAAGGAGACCTATTATACTGCTTTTCCAGTCCTATATTGTAGTTCTGTGACTCCTGTATGGCAGCTTTGCATGATTTAAAGTTAAAAAAAATATATTTTCTGTCTTATACTGTCCCTTCATGTAGGCCTAAATTTCAGCGTCTGTCTGAAACAAGCTGTAGATGCTCCTGTCTCTTTAAGGCCCCTCCTCTCAAAGCCCACTCTCTTCTGATTGGCCAAGACCTGAAGCATGTTACCAGGCTGTTGTTGTTGCTGGGCAGAACAGGCAGACTGAGCGTTGCTGTGCGGTTGCCGTGGGAGCAAATGACCATACTGTATATGGAACAGCGGCTCATCTGGCTCCGTGTGTCAAAGATACAAAAAACCCCTATAAAATATTATTTTAGGTGTCAGCAAATAGACTTTGAGCTTAAGGGGGACGTCTTACCCCACTCTACCCTACTTTAACCTCATTATTTGAAGCTTTGGCCATGTGACCATCCAACATTTGTCAACATCGTAGATAAGTCATAAAATGTGGTTTAAATACCGTAGAATTAATAAGCTACAACATTATCTAGTCTTTTACCGGTACTTTTTAACATTTTAGTGTTAATTTCTAACACGCTGCAGCCTCTCCTCAGCGGACGGCAGAGCAGAGAGGCTGCGGTGAAGCAACTCAAGTTCGACGACAACTAGTTCAAGTTCAATACACCTGTTCAACAAGCATGAACATGTAGAAAGCGATATTTTAATCTGCCGCATAAGCACAGCGTACTAGCTTAGCTAACAAAACTGAATTGTTACAAACAAGCTAAAACGAAAGCTGTCTGGTTGTAGTCTAACTGTTTAGATTAGTTTGCCGCGCACCCTAAAATTTGGCAAATTCTTGTTAGCTTAGCTGCTGGCTGAGAGAAACCAGCTGGAGGAGGAAGGACTGACACTCACTGATGTCTTCAGTCTTTCTAAACTTCACTCACTATTTTGATGTCAGGAATATAACTTCTTGTATTGACATTTTAGATTTAGTTCCAGTGAGATATTATTGAGCGCAGAGTTACAGCAGTAGTGATGAAAAAGAGCCGATAAGAGTGTTGACAAAGAAAAGAACCGGTAAGAAGTATTAATAAGAGGAACAGCATCAAGTCTAAAAACATGTGGCGTGCTTTGGAAACGTCAGTGATATGAACACGCACACAATTTGTGGTTTATTGGACTGAAACATGTAAATTCAACGGTATGGTCCTTAACTCTAACTCTAATCTTAATTATAACTGCTCCCAAGCGTTTCTTCTGACACAGATGAGCCTCGCTCCAACCGATGTTTGACCAGGATTTATTTGTTTCTTTTCACAATTAATCTTCTTTTGACCAGCAAACACCGTGAAAAACTGAAGTAAAATATTTACAAACACCGTCACTTTTGGTATGAAATATAATATAAATATTAGCAGTTCAAAATAAAATAATCACACACCGTCTGCGCCTTCTGCAAAGAGCCGTTACAATCCCCCAATCTGATGCAACACAGTCTTGTGGAACTTTCTTTTCCTCCAATTTAGCTTCTGATAGCAGCTTAACGATCAACTATTCTTAATTGATCATGTGAGCCCAGCATGCGCTTCATTTGTTAAACAGTAGGTGTCACTATTACTCAAGAGAAACCAAATTACACTTGAAAAAACATAATTCTGAACACAATTACGCAGTAAACAAGTACCTTTTACTGCGACAGCAACATTAATCCTTAACTAAAGTCTAAACTGACCCGCTTAAAGAACAAAATCGGCAGAATGGACCTTATAAATTACAAATGTCCTTACTACAAAGGTCTAAATAGCAAAACAACAGCGCCAAGCTTACCTGTATAGAAAGGGCCTTTGGGATGTGTATATACTGTAACACATAAGTCATTCCACTGTGAGGCGCTGCTCTCACTCTTTCACTTCTCACTTTGACTTTTTAAACCAAATCACAAAGCAGTTTTCCTTCTCATTGTTCTTTGGATTTGGCAGCAGTTTCACTTTGAGGTATATTTCAAGCTGCTCGACTGTCCTGAAAGGAGCTGTGGAGTCATTTAGTTTTTTCTTTGTTTGATGGTAGAGTTAACCAGAGTCTAGATCAGTTTCTGGATCAGTTTGTCACTGCAGATACTGACCAGGATTTATTTGTTTCTTTTCACAATTAATCTTATTTTGACCAGCAAACACCGTGAAAAACTGAAAAAACTGCTTCCCATCCGACCAATATGATTCAGCTCAGTTTGAAATTAGCTTTGGGAGTTCATAAAGACTTACAATCAGCCTGTCAGTGTTAATGAAAAAGACTTTGTGGAATTATTTCATACTTTTACAAGCAGCAGGGTGTCTTGGCTGGAAGTCCGCAGTCTCCTCCAAATGTACATTTGTTTTCAGACTGTGGTGAAAGGGTCGTTTACTTACTGTGGTTGGCGGCATTAAGTAGTGTCCTCGCCACACGAAGGAGCCACAGTACGCCCACGTAAAGCCACACAAAAATAGGGCCGGGCAATAAAACAATAATGATAATCATCGCAATATAATTTCCTCAATAAAAATAAAATAAATAAATATTCAGTATATCGTCGATAAATATTTGTTTAATTAATTTGAATCACGGAAAAATTAGCACTTTATTTTTCTATTAAAGTATTTATTTTGTTGAGGAAAGGGGACTGAAAAAAGATTTACTAATCATAGTTTAGATTTTTCTATCTCAGATTTCTGAAGTGATCCTCTGTTTGGCATGAAGTGTTTGTCACATTCTGACCATAAAGAAAAGTTTAAACCACATAATTAACTTTCTGGTTTCTTCAATTTTCACTCTGGAGCACAAATCAGCCTTTAAACTCGAAATAAATAATGATTTGACATTTATCCTGATAATTATCGATATCGAATGATATGAAATGTTTTTATCGTGATAACATTTTTGGCCATATCGCCGCCCAGCCCTACACAAAATCAGCTTTTACAAAAACTCGACTGGAATCATCTAATAATGCCAGGGTATCTGCAGCAATGCCAAGTTCTCAAATTTAACTTACAGACGTCTTAAAGATATTTCTTGCCTACATACAGGAACTGAAATGTTCCTGTATGTGGTCATGAAGTCAGGAGACGTTAAACAACAAAAAAAATTAAACGTGCGATGGTTGTGACTGATGATGGATATATATTTTTTCACTTTAAATGTCAAAAACAGCTGCTGTCCTTAACTTGTAGTCATGTTTTGTCGATTAATAAAAAAACAAAAACAATTTGACCTGCAGCTTGGAAATAAGATTGGTTGACTGTCTGGTTAACATGTCATTTACTCATTTAGCTTACTCATTTATCCAAGCGACTTACAATTGGGGCAGAGGTCCCACGCCTCTGGAGCAACTTGGGGTTAAGTGTCATTGTTGTCACACAGTGGATTCGAACCCGGGTCTCTCACACCAAAGGCATGCGTCTTACCCACTGCACCATCACCGCCAACATGTATTATAATATAAGCTGTGATCAAATCACTCTTTAAAACACATTCAAACACAGATATATGTTACGTTAATACGTTAATCTAAAACTCAGTAGAGCTGATCACAGAGAGCAGGAGTAGACTGGGGTGGTGATGGAGCAGTGGATAAGATGCATGCCTTTGGTGTGAGAGACCCGGGTTCGAATCCACTGTGAGACGCCATTGAGTCCCTGAGCAAGATACTTAACCCCTCGTTGCTCCAGAGGTGTGCGACCGCTGATGTATATAGCAATTGTAAGTCGCTTTGGACAAGAGCGTCTGCTAAATGTAATGTAGACTGAACGCAGGTTTTACCAGCTCAGTTTTGTGTTTTGCCGTCTTAAGAGGGTCAAAGAAGACGACATGTAGCCATTTTCCTTTTGCTAAATGTGGATGAGATCTTCAGAAAAAAGGAATAGACACAACTTGTGTTCACATAAACACGACAGTCTGAGAACAAACACAAATCAAAATAGGAAGTAAACATACAAGATACAACGTGTAAATCAGAGGTTTGTAGCAGTCTGAAGGTGTATTTTTCACCCTGCTGCTTGTGTTTTTGCTGTTAGGACACACAGACTCTACACTGGATTCACAGAGATGAAACTGAAATCCATCTCCTCATCTGACTCTGGAGAAGAGAACAAGAGGAGTTCCCTAAAATGTTGGAGTACGTAAAGTGCTCAGAGAGCTGGTAACCTCTTACCTTTAATCCAGTAAAAACCTACAAGTTAAAAACTTTAGTACACACATTGTCATCCCTGTAACAACTTATTCCCAATCATCTTTTTATGATTCTTATGTACTGTATATATTATGGCCGTACTCCCCAGGAGCTCTTTCTGTGATTCTGCGGCTCAGTTTAATTTTTTGCAAACATTCTTCTACAAACATAATTATTCTTTAGTAGTTGTTCAAAGCAACACTGTGCTTAACTGCAACTTCTCCTGCGGGTAACTGAACATGTTTTGGCTGCTAGTGCTGTAATGTCCTGCTGAGGTAGCTGCTAGCTAATGTAGAAGTGCTTCCTCAACAACTTGCATGAAGGAATTTGTGTTGGTAGTGCACATAAAAATTGGGCAACGTGTTAGTAGGTCTTTCTTTTTGTTTTATGCAATATGTTTATTAGTAACCATAAAATGTATATACCTAGAGTCATGCCATATTCTTTAAATTAATTGTTTGCTGTTTTACTGGGAGTTAGAAAAGGACATTAATACCTCTTTCATGTCTGTACACCATTTATGTAGCTGGAGCCAAAAGACAGTTAGCTTAGCTTAGCATAAAGGCTGGAAGCAGGGGGATACAGCTAGCCTAACACTGTCAAAGGGTAAAAGAAAAGGCTACCAGCTCCTCCGAAACAAAACATGACAAGCTGTGTTTTTTAAGGGGGGTTATGTGCTGGACTATATCTGCTTCCAGTCTTTAACTAAGCTGCTGGCTGCTTTCATGGACAGATTGTTGTATTCACCTTCTCATCTTGCCAAGAAAGCCACTAAGAGCGTTTCCCAACCTAAATGAGTCTCATACTGTATTAACTCCACCTGAACAGATGTGTTTTAGTCAGCTTATATCTTCCCCATAGACGAGGTTTATGCTTGGGATGCACAGAATGTTCACCACTGAAATTTATCGGACGAAAATGGCAAAAAAAAAAAAAGCACTTTCTGTGTTCGGCCTAATACGTCAAAAGGCAAAAGAAATTTTACCGGAGATTTACGTTCCACTCCATCTGTGGCTGGCTTCTTAGAAACTAACCGCTTTGAGTGTTTCCATCGCTCGTCTGTGAGAAGATGATTAAGTTAGCCGCACCTAAATTTGGAGTGCACACGTATTCCAGCCTTTATGGTAAATCAAACAGCCCAGAGCGAGCTGACAGGCAGGTTAAAGACTTTATCCTGTCAGTTTGTCTCTTTACAAAGACAAGTGTTGCAGTATGAGAGTCCTGCCTGAAGAGAGTCTGTGAAGTCTTCATGTTACGCCGTACGAGAACCGCATACAACATTATTTATCAAACTGGGTCGGACTTGAAGAATTTGAGGAGGAAACTATGGCGTCTATACAGGATGGAAATAAGATTAATTGGATTATATTCACAGAAAGGATAAAACATATTACATGGGTCCATTAAAAGTAAACGGACGCAACGGTAAAATAATTGGCAAAATAAATATTTGGTATTCGGCAAATTTTTCAATTTTTTTTTCGGTTTCGGCCAAGAATTTTGGTGCATCCCTACTTTATGCTAGCACTACTAGCATTAAACAAAAGTGGCATATAACAGCCAATGAGCCATTCCTCGTGGGTTATGTGTGTAGTTTCAACCACAGGACATATGACAGCTTAGCTTAACGTTAGCACGTTAGTGTCGTCATTCCGAACATATTAGCATACTTATGTTAGCATTTAGCTCAAATGCAGCTAGCATGGTTGCAGACTTGTTCAAACACAATTCCCAGAAAACATTATTGTTTTATATCCAGGACATCACAGTGATGAAGCTGCCATGTGTAATTTGCTGTATGTATTGTACCTAATGTGACGCCAAAGGGGACAAACGCAATCCACGGTGAACATAAGGTGGTGGTTGAGAGTCAGCGAGGCCGAACGGCGAATGGCGGCACGCCGAGTTTCACCTCTGAATGAATCACAGCTTGAGCAAGAAAGAAAATGGCTCCGCTATTGTTTTTGTAATCATTTCTGTTTCATGTTTTTAACAGGACTTTATTTTTTATTCAGGAGGGAAACACTTGAATAATTGATTGTCCTTGCATTTCAGAGGAAAAGGAATTTCTCCCTATGCAGTCGCACTCTTGTCTCAACTCCTGCTTGTTTGAGTTGAGCCGTCAGTGAACGTCTGAGTGAAACTTTTTAGGATTTAATTTGTGCGTACAGATGCACTTTCCCCTCTGCTTTGCCTTCTTCCTCTTGGTTTTCTGAGAGGGTTGATTGTTACACTGTTGACTGTAGTTTCATGTGGTTAATTGTCTTCATCATTTCTTGATTTATTTTTTTCCCTGTTGTACTGGACTCATTTCATGTGTCTCAAACATGCAAAGAACATACAGTCATGCATGCAGTCCAGGCCAATCTCCACATCACTCCGCGTGTTTATTGTTTATACCACCAACATCCAAAATAGTTGAAACAGCCAAGTGTCTTCAGTTTCGAGAGTTTGTCAATTGCACATCCATAATTAATTCTCCAGGAATAAAGGTTCATGTAAATAATTTTTGTGCACTTTTGAAGTGTTTGTTTTGCACCTGGCATTTCGTCAGAGCTCCGACTGGACTTCTGTTCATCATCATGAAGCTCTGGGAGCTCTGAGCAGCTGCAGATAGGGCTGGAAAATAAAACGATACCAATTTATCGCGATATATTTTTTTTCAATAACAATATAAAAAATGTTCAATAAATGTTTGATTTTATTCACTTGAATCATACATGAATTAGGACTTGATTTTTTATTAATATGTTTATTTTGTTGAGGAAAAAGGACTGAAAAAAGCTTTTACTTAATTTGACTCGTGCATATTTGTTGACAAAGATTTTATCATAATTGTTTTGAATGTTCTACCTCAGATTTGTGAAGTGATCCACTGTTTGGCATCAAGTGTTGACCGTAAAGAAAAGTTTAAACCACAATTAACCATCTGGTTTCTTCAACTTTCACTCAAGAGCAAAAATCAGCCTTTAAACTCAAAAGAAATAACGATTTGAAACATATTGTGATAATTATCACAATATAACGACGTATACCGCCTCAAAAATGTTAACTACATGTCAAGGCGACGCAGAACGTAAGAACTGTGATCGGTGTAGCCTGTGTAGCCTCCGAGCCGACAGGAAGTGCCCCGTGCTTTGAATTTACTTTTACTTGCGGCCAAACCAGCAGCTGCAACACGGTGGATCGATATATCTGACCGTCACAACTTGAGCAAAATGACTCGTTTCACTATCAGAATGTGATCCAATCGGTCGATAACATTTGAAAAGTCGATACAAGCCGCATGTTTACAGTTTTAGCTGAGGGCTAAACCGGAAGTTAGCCTGCTCGCCCAGCAAAAGTCAACACAGTGGACGCTGTAGCGGTGTAGTTGAAGAATGACAGAGACACCGACGCACGTGTAAATGCATGACGCAGGAGTATAAAGCAAGCCTAAGTCCCTCCTCTTCCGGTGGACCAACATTGGACCTTATCTTTGAAAAATATTGTACAGTAGTCGACGGCAGGAGACAACAAATATTTTGATCCCGTTTGAACTGTGATACATTTTAAAGTCAAGAAAGTCGCAATTTGTTGTAAAACTGTTGAAGTATAAGACTGTGAAAATACATAATTACACAGACCACAAACCCAAAAGTTGCGTATTTGACGTCATAAACTGTTTCTGTAAATGACTGAAGCAAAATGATCTTTTGTTTACAAACATCATGTGTGTAATTCAGGGCACAGTTCAAACGGGATCAAAATATGAATTGTCCCTTGCCGTTGACTACCGTACAATATTTTTCCCGAAATAAGGTCCCAGGAGCCGGAAGCGAATGACTTGAGGCTCTGGCCGACTACACGACTTTCAATGTCGTTCACGCTACACAACTTGCCGTCTTGTGACGGGAGTCTTGAAGTCGTTGTGGCGTTCACACTGCGTGACTGATCGGTGACAGGGGGGTCACACGCTACACGAGCTGACAGCGGCCCCGTCGCACGACGCTGGTCTCCAAACCACGTTTTGTCAAGAAAACACACACACGTGAAATGTGAAACAGGAAATGACGCGAACCTACACCCTGTTGTTTGTTGGCTGTTTGTTATTATAAAGACAAAGAATCTGAGTGAAAGGATGGATCAGCACGCTCAGGCAGCAGGGATCATCTGAGCTACAGAGAGACCTGGAGGTGAGTAAAAAGTGTTTTGCAGTGAAAAAGTAGCTGCCTGCTCTCAGTGGCTGGATGTGGATGTCGAGTCGGCCGACTCCTCCAGATATTTGGCGTGCTAGATATCTGGCAGACGTCGGCGATGTGTCAGAAATGTGTCGGGAAGCTGTTGTGATGCCTCGTTGAGTAGTTCACGCATAACAACTGGCGACCGCCAATCAGCCGCTGATTTACCCCCGATCACAGCCCGACGGACGCCGAGTGGCAAATAGGGCTACAAATCGTGCAGTGTGAACGAGGCTTTAGTAATAACTTTGGTGATCCCTCAAAGCTGGGACAGGCAACATTGGAGAAACTAGCAAGAGAGAGAAAGAGATTTTAAAAGCATCTGACCTAAAAAAAAATCCCACCCCCTCTCTTTAGGCCTCTCTCCAAAGCTACTCCCCCAAAAACACATCTTCATATGCAATGAGTGCACGAGCAGAGTGTGCGCAGGGACGGCGAGGTGGATAGACCGAATGAAATGAGTCCCGCGACAGCCACAGATACTGAATTATTTCCATTGTTGCGTCAGAGCATTTGATTTATTTGCTGTGAGGATGTAAAGAGAATTACAACAAATATAACAACAACAAAATGCAAAATGCTTCTGAAATAAACTTTTAGTCTTCATCTAGCACCATCATCAGGCCAGAATTTAAATTTGTAACACTTTAGTTTTGCTGGTATTTGGTTATAATGAGATTCCCATCAGCATCATCTGCTCTTGTGCTAAGCGCTAGTTGGCGGAGGTTTGCATGCAAATAATAACCAATGAAGGAATTATAAGCCAACAAGGTTGGAAAACAATGATATAACATCCACATAACACACTGCACCATGCTTCTCTGGTTTAATAACAGTTTGTTTTTTTTTAACCCTGCATGCATCAGACTCCAAAACCAATGCTGTAAATATTAAGTCAAGCATCTGCTTCTGTTGGATGAATTATTATTATTAATGTTGTATTTTAAAGGTTCCTCACTGTGTTACAAAAGTTGTCAGTGAACTGTGTACATGATTTTGGTTAATGACTTCATGTTTCAAGTGTTTCACGTCAGCCATTTTATCTGTGTGAGCAGGAGGTTGTGACAATCTGGAGTGAAACATATGTGGATGTTGGGATGAAGAAAATACATGTAATTAATATTTAAAACTGAGGGCATCAGTAAATAAACTGACAACTAAAAGGCTCTGGAAATCTTTCTTAAAGAATACAGGAGCTTACAAAAAATGTCAAATACCTAAATAAGAACAAAACAAACAAAGAAATAAAGTGAAATGCTAAACAGAGTAGGTTATTATACGTATTTCAATTTTATGGATGTTGCCTTGTTTGATTGGTTTTCATTTAGGCCCAATCTTCCAGCCTCAGTTCATCTGGGACAGTATTTAGATTTTGTTTGGGGAATACAGTATATATTAATATATTTGCAGCGGTCTAATAGTGGAAGCACTCATTCACTGACTCTAGTGAATCAAACCTTGGTCTGCCTCCATCTATGAAAACAGAAATATGTGAGGGGATCTGTTGCTATATTTTCACATCTATTAAATGTTTTCAGGATTCTTTTCTTCTATTGATTGTTTGCATTTTTGTGATGACAGATCTTCACAAAAATAAATCCAAATACAGCACATTATATATATATATAGAACAACTGAATTAAGATCAGCAGTGACTCTGTGACAGATTATTTTCTTAGAACAATAAGAAAAACAAGGCTGTGACTTAGAGACTGAAATATTAATAATAACGGAACAAACGCTACGATTATAATTTATTTTGAAATCCCATGCAGCGTGAACCGGAAGTTTTATGGTTAATACCGGGACTTGACGTAAACCCTTTTCTGATTGGGTGATCATCGGTACGCTCGCTCTGGCCAATCAGGGAGCAGCTCTGTACACATATATATGTGGTTTCGGCGGCTTGTAGGACAAAACTTTCTCGTGCTCGAAAGAATCAAAACGGAAAATGTCTGGAAGAGGAAAGACCGGAGGCAAAGCCAGAGCAAAGGCCAAGACCCGCTCCTCCCGCGCCGGGCTGCAGTTCCCCGTCGGTCGTGTCCACAGGCTGCTGCGTAAAGGAAACTACGCGGAGCGCGTCGGTGCCGGAGCCCCCGTGTACCTGGCGGCGGTGCTGGAGTACCTGACCGCTGAGATCCTGGAGCTGGCCGGAAACGCCGCCCGCGACAACAAGAAGACCAGGATCATCCCCCGTCACCTGCAGCTGGCCGTCCGCAACGACGAGGAGCTCAACAAGCTGCTGGGCGGAGTCACCATCGCTCAGGGCGGCGTGCTGCCCAACATCCAGGCGGTCCTGCTGCCCAAGAAGACCGAGAAGCCCGCCAAGAAGTAAACAACAACAACAACCACAAACACAACGGCTCTTTTAAGAGCCACACATCTCAAACTAAAGACACACTTCCTGCTCATGTTTCATGATAAACAGTTTATCCCCCAGATCCTTTTTACAATTTACTCAAATTTAGCGAGGCTTCATCATCAACCATCAGTTTACGTGTGTCTGCAGCTCAACGTACCTCCTGAGTCTGACTGTACAACATCGTCCTTATTCACTAGTACTTGGTCCATTAAAGTTGTAGATACCAGTTTATTATACACACTACCTTGACATGTAGTGACAATTTCCCTTCAGGAAACAGATTCTTTAGACGTTTGTCAACCTTATTCTGTTCACATGTCATGAATTTGTTACTGCATTTTCACTTACAGGTGTTGAGTTTAATTTATGAAACAAATACATGATCATTAGAGGAAGGAGCTCCTGAGTACTACATGTTGTCTGAGGCAGCTTTTTATTAAAGCACAGAGGCTTCCTCACATGTGGCTTCCATAAAGTCATAATTGCTGATTTCAGCTTATTTGAACTTGTTGATGAAATATTAAATTTCTGTAAATAAGATGTTTTCTTGCTGTGATCATTAGTGTTTGAACAGTAATATATAGTGGTTTTCATGAACATGATCAGAGGAAGGAGCTCTTGAGCTTTAGTGAGGAGGCTCTTAAAAGAGCCGTTGTGGTGTAAAGAGGTGTGGGGGGAGTTTAAGCCCTCTCTCCGCGGATGCGTCGGGCCAGCTGGATGTCTTTGGGCATGATGGTGACCCTCTTGGCGTGGATGGCGCACAGGTTGGTGTCCTCGAAGAGGCCGACCAGGTAAGCCTCGCTGGCCTCCTGCAGAGCCATGACGGCGGAGCTCTGGAAGCGCAGGTCGGTCTTGAAGTCCTGAGCGATCTCCCTCACCAGGCGCTGGAAGGGCAGCTTGCGGATCAGCAGCTCGGTGGACTTCTGGTAGCGGCGGATCTCTCGGAGAGCCACGGTACCGGGCCTGTAGCGGTGGGGCTTCTTCACTCCGCCGGTGGCCGGGGCGCTCTTACGGGCAGCCTTGGTGGCCAGCTGCTTCCTGGGAGCTTTTCCTCCGGTGGATTTACGCGCGGTCTGCTTGGTTCTGGCCATTTCAGTCTCTCTAACTTGTCCGTGTTCACAGATAAAGAAGAATCCCGACAGGCTGCGAGCAGCGGCTTTATAAAGGAAGAGCGGGCGCGACGACGGCGCTGATTGGTCCAGGCCGAGAGGAGCTGCTATTGGCCAAAAGAAAAATTCAAACTGACCAATCATCCACAGCAGCTGGCCAAGAAAGAAACAATGATTTTAGATTGAAAACAACATGTTAGAAATATTACATCTTCAAAACTTTTGGAGACTAAAGTTACATTAACAAAGTTTTTCCACATTTCAAGATAAGATGAGATACAGAAGTAAATAAGTAAAAAAAAAAAAAATTGATCTGAAGTTTATAAAACATAATAATTATGGAAATAAAAATAGAATATGAAGTTAATGCTAATACATACATATAAAATATTATTTCCCAACAGAGTCTAAATATTAGACCCAACAGAGAGAGACTATTTGGTGTCTGTCCTGGACCCAAACTTAGCACAACAAACCATGAATTTAAAATGTATGTTAGAGACTGTGCCATGTTTCACTCCTCCGCAACCTTAGGCCTGCAATCCTTTCATGCTTGTAGTTTGCATCATTTATTTGTTATATTGCTTTTGTTTGGTTATTTACCAAACAAAACTAATCAGCCAACTAATCAGCAAAATTAGTCCATTTACTTTAGTTCTTCAAACCATTAAACGGAACGTTGGTTACGTATTGTAACCCCAGATTCTATGAGTATAGGCTTCGCCCTCTAAGAGCTGTCGCTATTGGGTTTATCTCAAGATTTCTTTCGCGCCTATGTGCCGTGTACGGGCCTCTATTTCTATTTTCTATTTTTATTTTTATTTCACACACACACACACACACACACACACCTCATCATTTTTAAGGACAAATTACAATGGTAACAGGAAGGTTATTGTGTGAAAAGGGAGAACCCCAAAGAAGCTATTAAAGCTTTTAAGAGGGGGCCCAATATCTACATACAACATATAACATTCAAGAAAAACTCATGCCATAAAAACAAATAAATATAAATACAACAAAACACAAGACTACAAACAAACAAAAGATCAATCCCAGAACAAATATAACACTTCCAAAATGATCAAAAAGTATATGTTAAGAGCAAATTTTCCTTCAGATTTATTTTGAAAACGGAGACAGAATGCACCAATTTAAGGTTTTCCTCGAGCTTGTTCCAAATCTGCGGACCTCTACAGACTCAGGCTCGTACATTTCAAACGTCTTATTTTACCAGTAATTAACTCTTTTTCCCTTGTGTGGTATGTATGCTGGGGTCGACTGATTGGGACAAGTTCACACAATCGGTCATTTAGCATATGAACAACCTGGAATATCATACAAGCATTATGAAAAGAATTGTATTCGGTAAGTCTTAATAGACCCAGGTGATGAAACAATAGATGCGAGGGGGTATTTGGCTCAGACCACGTCATTACCCTTATAATTTTTTTTCTGTAAAGACTGTATTTTTTTCAGGCAGCTAGTAAAAGTGTTACACCATATGACATTGCAATAATTTAAATGGGACTCAAACAATGTTTTATATAAGATAACAAGTGCTGACTGCGGGAGAAAATGTCTTACTTTGAAAAATAGTCCAACGTATTTTGATAATTTTGTTATTAACTGGTCAATATGACATTTGAATTGTAGACATTCATCAATAAAGACTCCGAGAAATTTAATGGTGTTTACTCTTTCAATAATTTGTTCATTTATTTTAAGACAGACATACTTATTTACCAATTGATTTTGTTTGGAATGAAACACGATGTAGTTAGTCTTATTTATGTTAAGAGATAATTTATTGCACCGAAACCAGATAGCAACATTTCATAATTCTCTATTTATTGTTTCTTCCATATCGTCTGGATTCTTATGTGACATAAATAGATTTGTGTCATCAGCAAATAAAACCTTGTGTAAAGCCATTGTGGAATTTCCAAAATCATTTATATATTAAGAAAAGAAGAGGGCCCAAAATGGATCCCTGTGGGACTCCACATTTAATGGGTTTGCTTATTGAAATTTGTTCATTGATACTTACATACTGCTGTCTACCAAATAGATAACTTCTGAACCAGCTAAGGGCTAATCCTCTAATTCCATAATGGTGTAATTTATTTAATAGGATGTCGAAATCAATAGTATCAAACGCCTTAGATAAATCTAAAAAAATACCAATACCACTCTCGCCTTTATTAATGGCATCATTGATCTTTTCAATCAGATCGAGTACCGCCATACATGTGGTTCTTTTCTTCCTAAAACCATATTGAGAAGAAGCAATAATATTAAGTTTATCAAGGTAGCCATATAGCCTATTGTACACTACTCTCTCTAAAACTTTAGAAACTGTGGGCAAGATTGATATCGGACGATAATTGCACATATCATTTTTATCCCCAGATTTGAACACTGGTATAATTTTGGCAATTTTTGTCCTTTTTGGTACAGTTCCAGCAAGCAGAGAGAGATTAATACAATAAGTCAATGGCTCCCTGATATTAAATGCTATGGCTTTCAGAATTTTACTACAAATTTCATCCTCACCAGCAGTATACGAACTTCGTAAATTAGTAATTATTTTGTAGACTTCATCACAATTAGTTGGTTTCATAAAGAAAGAATTTGCATAAGAACCCCGCAAATAATGGTCGAAAGTGATCCCCCGAGGCTTAACTATTTTATTAGAGAGTTTTTCCCCAATAGAGTTAAAGTAATTATTAAAATTATTTGCTAAATCAATGTCTTGCATATATTTATTATCCAAATTTGAGTGTAAGTATTGTGAGCATTTGGAAGCACAGTGTTGTTTTTTCTCTTGTTAAGGACTTCATTTAACACTTCCCAAGACCTCTTAGAGTCACCCTGTGATGCTTTTATGAGGTGTATATAGTGGTTATTTTTACTTTTCCTTATTATATTAGTAAGTTTATTCCTGTAACTAGTATATATCCTTATTCATCAACACTTGGGCTTCTTAAGAAACGTTTATAGAGTTTATTTTTATGGGTGATAGATTTTAAAATACCCTTTGTAAGCCAGGGGTTGAAACCAGTTGCACGGTGTCCAGCGTTCTTTTCAGGGATAGTACAACAAATAGAGTTTGTAATTTCATTTATCAAGTTGTCATAAGCAGTATCAGTATTGTTGCAGTCATAGACTGCTTTCCATGTTTTAGCCTGTAAATTTTCGATCAATAGTTTCAAGATTCTCTCATTTAGTACTTTGATTTTTGTTTTTTGCAGTGATAATTCATTCTTATTTGCAAGATCTAGAAACAATACAATCGGAAAGTGATCAGTAATATCAGATAACACAACTCCAGATTCTAGTCTAGTATTTCGAATGTTTGTGATGATATTGTCAATAACTGTCCTAGTGGAGAGCGTTACTCTGGTAAATTGATTTATGGTACAAAAGAAAGAAAAAGAATGCAAGGTATTTACAAAGTCTCTTTTTACAACGTCATCTTTAGAGACATCAATATTGAAGCCACCAAGTATGACACAATCTTTGTTTTTTTTGTTTATGGAGAATAATATGTCCTCCAGTTTACCCTCGAAAACATCAAAGTCAGAGTCAGGGGGGCGATAAATCACTCCTACTATAATTTTTTTTGCATTATTGAGATCTAAGGGGGCCTCTGTGGACATTTCTGACAGCCAGAGAAGAGCCCTCTCCGCCGCCGTGTGAGCTGCAGAGCCGCTCGACACGGCCCATGGGAGGGCTGAGTTGAAAGGGCTGCGGCGGCGATAGTGTGAAACACTCGGGCCGCTCATTCTCAGTGTCAGACTCGTGCCACGGTGAAAAACCTCCACTAACACACACTGAAGGGTGAGAGGACGTTTGGTTGGCTCTGAAAAGAGCCGTTGTGTCCGGCTGTTCCAGGAAGAAAACACACGTCCCCCGCGTCCCGTCAATACCTCCGCTGTTTGCGGGGAGGCTCGGCAGGGGGGTTGGACCAGGAGCAAGCCGCTCGCCTGTTCTTTACTGCAGGGCGGCGCTGTGAAGAGGGAGCAGCGGGCTGGAGCAGAGGCCGCGGGCGCCTCCGCCTGGAGCAGGAGTGGCGGCGATCACGCCAGGAGCCCTGTGAGCGCCGTGGGAGTTGAGGTGGCGCTCTGCTCCACGCTGTGTGCCGCTTCACCTTGTCTGCCTCGTCCGAAGCTTGCTGCAGGTGTGTGATTGCATCCTGGAGGAGCGGCCCAAACAGCCCATCGAGGCTGATGGGGCCGTCCAGCAACTCCTTCCTGATCTGCTCCGGCAGATCGGACATGTGCAGCCACATGTTCCGTTGCAGCATCGTCATCCACGCCATAATCCGGAACTGGCCGACCGCCGCTGCTGTGGAGAGCGACAAAATGGCGGCCGTGTCTTTCCCAAACTCGCTGGCAAGCTCGGGGGAAAGAGCGTCGGGCTGAGCAGCGGCATACGACATGGACGAGGCCAGCAGCGATATATTATTGATGGCAGCTGCTACCTGGGCGGCACACTGGTGGGAGCGGTCCGTGACTCGAGCCGTCACCTGGTCGCGGGCGGAGGGCGGAGTCGGCTTCCTCCTGCCGAAAAAAGTGGCTTTAGGCAGCAGGATGGCTGCCAGGCTGGGCTCCAGAGGTGGGACAGAGGGAAACCCACGGTCAGTGAGGCCCTCAACCTTCGTGAAGTTGACATACCTCGCCACCGGCGCCTTCAGCTTCCCAGGCTCGGCCCCCGCTTCGGAGAGAAAAGGCTGAAGCGGTGGAAAAAGGGGCCACACAGGAACCTGTTTGGACGCTTGCTCTGGCTGGTAGATGTCGCCGAGCATGGCGCTAGGAGCAGGTGCAGGAGGCTCGGCAGGTATCGGCACGCCCTTGCGCTCAGCGGCCGCAAGCTGGAAGGCGGAAGTGGAGCAGGAGCTAGCGACGCCGCCTTCTTATCCAACTCGAAATCAAACTCCAGGTCTTCCAGTGGGAAGAGGGGAGAGCCTGGCGGGGAGCCAGCAATGGAGGGAGCAGAGTCAGAGGACTCGAGCCCTGCATCGCTGGCAATCCCGCCGGCGAGGTCCGCCAAGAAGCTAACTGGCTTAGCCCAGCTAGCATCGTCAGCCTCCTCCTCCTGCAGGGCCGCGAAGGCGTCGACCCGCCGTCGCTTCTCCTCCACGGGCAGCTGTGCGCAGTAGGGGCTCGAGGCCTGGGGAGTCAGAGTCAGGCCAGCGTGCTGGGGACCGAGGCAGGTCTCGCAGCGGGCGTGGAGATCAAACCCCATGATGTAGCCGGCGTGGCAGGACGGGCAGAGGCGGACTCCTTCCGAGCGGCGGACCTCAACGGTAGAGCGGTGAGTAGCCATAGGAAAAGCTCTTTAGTATGAGAAATTGCTCTTTAGATGCTACTCTGCTCTCAGAAGTGACTGCTATGCAGCGCTGAAGAGAAAAGGGGAGCAGATCTCTGGTCTCGCCGGTATTATATACCCAATCTGCGGACCTGAGAGAGGCCCGTGCACGGCACATGGGCGCGAAAGAAATCTTCAGGACTGCGCATGCGCGCGGGGATGAACCCAATAGCGACAGCTCTTAGAGGGCAAAGCCTATAGTGTACGAAATAGAACACTCTGACGCCCGACCTGCGCAGCGGCTCGAGAGAAAATTTAATTTCCAAGATTAATCTACAAGTAAAAAACTTGAATATTCTCAGAGACGTTTTCTGTGGAGGTAAACACACGGTTGCTGTCGGGGACTCAGCCGGTTGGATGGACTCCTGTCACAGATGCATCTGCTGGAAAAGACTTTCCGTTTCCACCAAATGTTACATTTAACATGAAGTAACTGACAACAGAAAGTCGTGTTTCTCCACTCTGCTGTACAGAGACCTGACTTACTGAAATAACTTTAATCAGCTTCAGTTTGTGTCCAGACCAGCTTTCTGTCTGTGACATGATTTGATCAGGTCAGTTCACACATTAATGTAACTTTTATTCAATATTTGAACGTTATTTAACATATTTTCTTGTTAATTATTGTCATCTGAATTCAGGCCATTAAGCTAAAATCAAGGACACCGAGGTTTCATCATCAGCTTTGTATTTTATTTGGAAATTCGGGACTTAAGAGCTTCCTTTTATTTCTTATTTAAGTTACACATAATGGGTCTCCTCTATTGGCAGATATATTTTTAGACTCATCAAACTTGATTTAAACATGGAAAATATTGAAATCAATAGGCCTATGTGATTTTACAGACTTTATGTTGTTTTTGAATTTATTGTGGGATTGTTTATGGGCTTACATAATATATTGAGAGGGATTAATGAAACAAATATCTGCTATGAATCTGCATCATAACGTAAGTTCTTTGTAAAAGAGGTAAAATCTTTAAACATAATTGAACTAAATAAAAATCTAAATTGGTTGGAATCAATACTGGTGTTCATTAAACAAACCATGTCTGATGCTTCTATTATGGTATCATTTTAAAACTAAACTGTAGGCTGTGTAAATAAAATGAATACTGTTTTAACTAGAGGTTAAAACCTTGTTATGCATTTAATAGTTAAATTATTTGATTTATATTAAAACAGGTGTGTAAATGTGATTATTGGGGTTTTACTTGTTTGGATTTAGGGAGAAATGTCTCTCTTTAACAACTTGCAAGCTCAGAAAAATCTAATTCAGCAAATCAAAGGTTATTAATGATCAAACTCACACACAGGTTCAAAATCCACCATCATCTCATCCAACATAACTAATTGGTTTCAGCTGCCTTTATATTCTGTACGACAGAACAACAAATAGAATTACAACAAACACCATGAACCACTTGTACCAAGAAGTAGGGCTGTGACGAGACGCTTGTTACTGATTGTTGCCCTCTAAAATGTCTGATTTTGTGAAAGCTTTTCTAAAAAATTGCCAAAAACTTGTCTTTTTTGGGTCAATACCTGAAAACTGCAAAGGTAGATATTTTTTAAACTTTAAAACCATAGTTATATTAATCATTAACGTAGTCATTTAATGAAAATATAGTATATATATATATACCTAATGCACAACACCAAAAAATGACAACAATTAACAATGAAACTTGACTCACAACATTTTGTAAATGTTTTTTTCTGGGTCAAAAAATGGCATAAAAATATGTTTTGAGGGCAGTTTAGTGCAGAGGACTGCAATCATTAGTTGCAGTCCCATACAAAATAGTTCAAAATGAGCACCTTAAAAACTACAACAGTAAAATCTTGCATTTTCATTAATATATGATGAATAATAACCTAATGATAGAATTATAGTATAACAGTCACATGGGACATTTCAGTGTGGTATTAGTACTTTTACTTCAGTAAAGTATCTGAATACTTCCTCCACCACTGAAATTATTACACTTGACTGTTTAAATCTGTGTTACTGTGTTTATCATTTGACCTTCACATCTACTCACTTCTCATAAAGGAATTTTTGTCGTTGCCTCTTGTGTGGCGCATGCTCAGTCTCGTTTAAAGCTCAGCCAATCCTGTACGAGGAACAGCACAGTATCATTTACATCAAGCGCATACAAATCTGTCGTCTCAGCGATGCAGACTTATTCGTTGAAAACTACTACGAAGTTGAAGATGCCTGATCCAGTTAAGGCTCCGAAGGCATAATCAGTGATTTCACAGTTGTTTAAATTGGCCTACAAAATATTATTGAATCGTTCTTTAAACAGTGTGAACACCATAGACAGTGTCTCCTATTCGTGCCCTGGTGGGCAGTAGGCCACTATGGCCCCCGCTGGCCTTTTACCTCAGTATGCCTCCAAATTCGGGCAGTTTTGGGTTCGCCTGAAATACATCGGCAACGGAGATCCTCCTACTCGCGAGTATGTTGGTGAAGTTTTGTTGTTTGAGTCTGTCTGGATTAACGTTACTGACGTGTACTCATTTATAGCCTTACCTAACAAAAAAGACTTCGAGCTGTGCTTTTTCCACGAGGCACCTTTAAGGCGTTTCCTGGAAGCCCAAGCCTCTAAAAATGGAGACCCAAAATGGAGGGACTGGTCCATCGAGTCCTCCATTCAAATGGATATCACAAACATTATAGTGAAATTCTGGACTGGGCGAGTACCAGACCATGACATAGATCTGTATCTGAGCAGATTTTGTGAGATTTTGCATTCATACAAACCTGTGGATAAGTTTGGTATCTGGTATGGTGTTCGCAGATATAAAGTAAAGATGCGTAAAGACGCAAATGGACACACTTCACAAATCCCAAACTCTATCTCCCTTGGCCCCTACAACGGGAGAATAATCTACTCCGGTCAATCCATCAGCTGCTTTATATGTCATTCCACTGACCATCAAGTAAAGCAGTGCCCCTCCGTAAAGTGCTGGAAATGTGGCAACTTGGGCCACAAGGCCAAAGCCTGCAATTTTGAGAGTCAGTGCAGCCTGTGTGGCGAAAAAGGCCACACTTTCTTCAGCTGCCCTTCCTCCTATGTGAACAAGGCTAGAGCCCAGCAGCAGTCTGGCCCTCCAGTCAACCAGCGAACTGGTCCTCCGTCAGCAGCTAAACCGCATCTATTGGCGGAACCACAGCAGCCCGGTCCTTTACCAGCCGCCAAGGAGCGACCCGTCCCTCCACCATCAGTTAAACAGCAGCCGGCAGCCGAGCAACATCAACCTGGCACTCTGCCAACTAAGCAGCGATCTGACCCTCTACCAGCAGCATTACGGCAGTTATTAGCCGATCAACAGCAGCCCGGCCCTCTACCAGCCACCAAGCAGCGACCTGATCCTCCACCATCTGCAAATCAGCAGTCATCAACGGATCAACAGCAGCCTGGCACCCTGCCAGCCAAGCATCGATCCGATCTTCTACCGGTGACAAAGCAGCAGCCAGCAGCAGTCCAGCTGCAGCCCGGTCTTCTGCCAGTCATCCTACAGGTGCCTGGAGCCCTCTCCTGCTCCTCGCGTCTATCTGATGTTCAGCCTCTCGCCTTACAGAGGGATCGTCGTCCGTCCCTCAAAGAGGCGCTTCCTGTCGAGGAGCCGCAGCCTCCAGCTCAGACCCCTCCGGAGGCCCTCTGTCCATCAGGTGAGGAGAGTTCAAGTGTATGTAGTGAGAATGCACATAGAAAATTCATTGATATAGATAGTAGTGATGATGATGAAGATGTAAAGGATGAGGGCGAGCTGTTTTATGAGAGTGCGAGTGAGAGTCCGAGCTCGGATTTCAGCCTGTTGTTAACAGCTGCCCAGCGGTCCAGCAGATCTCCCCTCTCTCCTCCGCCGGGAAGCAACTCAGGCTCCTTTTCTACATCACCTGAGTTTTCTGCCCCCGCGGGTCTAGAGGTTCAGGATGAAGCACCTCTTAAGGTAGTTAGTAAAAAGAGAAGAGCTTTGTGCCCCCCCCCTAAAAAAGGGAAACGTCTGGATGATAAACCATCACCTTAGACGTGACATCCTCATTTCTCTTCCTAATGAGCTTCCTCACCGTCTCCACCTGGAATGCTCGTGGTATTCAGTCGAGCGCCAATAGGGAACAGAAAATTGACTATTTATCGAACACTGATATCGACATTTTGTGCACACAAGAATTACGGTTAAAAACGGACGAGGATGTGGTTGAAGTTACTAATATGTGGCAAAAGGGGAAATGTGTAATATCCATAGGTGAAGACAGCTCTGATGGGGTGGGTATATTTTTTAAATCTCACGAGGTAACCATTATTAGAAGGAGGGATATTATCCCAGGTAGATTGCTTATGTTGGACTGTTTTTATAGAGGGGAAAAATATCGCATTATAAATGTTTACACTGCTCCAGATAGAGGCAAGAAAACCCGGTTATTTAAAAGACTCGGGGGACTCCTCATGGTGGCGTACAAAATTATCTTATGTGGTGATTTTAATATAGTGACTGCGGAAGAGGACAGGTGCAGCGATACTATATTTAAATTGAGCCCACAAGGTAAACTTTTAAAAGAAACGTGCAAAGAAGCTAAATTAATTGATGTATGCAGAGCTGTCAATCCGTCGGGGTTTGATTTTACTAGGTTCGATACTAAAACTAAAACGCGTATCGACAGAATTTACGTCTCAACTCACTTTAATGTATCTTATTATAGAACAGTCTTAAACGAGTTTTCAGATCACCTTTTAGTAGTTACATCATTAACCTCCGGAACCTCAGTTAATAGAGGTTTCTGGAAACTAAACACTCTGTGTTTAAAAGAGAGAGACATAATTATAGAACTTAAACAGGAAATTCAGAAAATAATTCAATTAAATGTATTTACCAAATCTGATGTTATACTGTGGGAACTAGTAAAATGTAGAATGAAGGAGTATTTTAAATTTAAATGTAGAGAACTAAACAAAAGTAAAAATATAAAATACGATTTATTAATTAAACAATACGTCACGTTAAAACAAAAGGTAAGAACATTAGCAGAAGAGGAAACGATGTCAGTATTAAAAGTACAAATAGATAAAGTTAATGGTGAATTATTACTTAACATTTTTAAAAATACAGAAACGGACAACAGAGGCAATTTACTTCAGTCCCTCAAAATTAGACGAAAACAAATTCAAAGCAAATACATTGAATCTATTAAAAATCAGGATGGTGTTGCTGTGTATTCTGAACCACAGAAAAGACAAGCGATAAGAGATCTGTGTGCCGACGCATATAAACATATAGAAACCGAGGCAGAATGTGCGGACATTTTGCTAAAGGATGTTCCTCCCATCAGCTCACTTAACTTCTCTCAGGTAATTGGGGACATACGAAAAGATGAGGTGGTGCAGGCCATCCAACAGCTTAATGTGGGCAAAAGTCCTGGTCCGGATGGTCTGCCCACGGAGTTTTACCAGCTATATCTGGACGACATTATAAATCTCCTCACTTCAATGTTCAATGAAGGTTTGAAGAACGGCTGTATGGGGGACTCCTTTTATCAGGGTGTTCTGTGTCTTTTATTTAAAAAAGGTGATACAACTGATTTGGATAATTACAGACACTTGACTATTATGAATACAGATTATAAAATACTCGCTAAAATAATTACCAATCGATTAAATAATATCCTGGATGAAATTATAGAAAGAGAACAAACCTGTGCGATAAAAGGCCGTCTCATGTGGGACAATCTGAGCATTTTACGAGAGATTTTAAACAAACCAAATAACAAAGGTTTTTATATCATAGGCCTTGACCAGAAAAAAGCCTTCGATTATATTTCCAGAGATTACCTCTGGTCAGTTTTGGAAGCATACGGCTTTCCTGAATCCTTCATCCATATGGTAAAGTGTCTGTATGTGAAATCAAGTGTGTGTGTTAATGTCAATGGTGTTTTGACCGAGTCTTTGGAGGTCCAGAGAGGTGTAAAGCAGGGCTGCCCCCTGAGTCCAGCCTTGTACATCCTGGCCATCAATCCCCTGATTAAAAAAATCAACGCAGAAAGCCTCATCTCAGGTACAAGTGTAGGTAACGCCTCTAAGGTTACAGCTATGGCCTATGCCGATGACATTACTGTAGTAATAAAAACCAGAGGGAGATGGACGCTTTAATAAATATTTTAAGCGTGTATGAGCTCGCATCTGGGGCTAAATTAAATCACTCTAAAACTGAAGGAGTTTGGATAGGAGAGGAGAGCGACAGGGGCGACATTAACATTCAAATTAATCAGGAAATTAAAATCTTGGGCCTGACCATATGCAATAAAGATTGTGCTGAAGTAAACTGGGAGAAAAAACTGAGCGTAGTTAAAGAAGAAGTAAAAAAATGGGAAAACAAAAGAAATAATTATAGGACCAGAATAAATGTTGTCAAAACTTTTATTTTATCCAAACTCCTGTTTTTATCGAATATTTTCCCCCCATCGCACAAAATGATAATTAAACTGAATAAACAATGTGTTAACCTGGTCTGGGGAACAACCAGGGAAGTCACAAAAAGAGTGCTGCTTTTTAAAAGCAGAGAATACGGAGGTTTAGGTGCCGTGGATCTGGGTATCCGCCTCACGATAGCTTTTGTAAAAAATGTCTCCACAGCCATCTCCAGGAACGCTCTCTGGCTGGGTGATCCCACCAAATGGCATAAGAGACGAGGCAGGGCCAGACAGGGTCCCTACTACAAACTAATTTACGGGGATTTTATTGCACAACACCAGCACTTACAGATAGACTGGGTGGGTTTTAGCAGCAAATCTATTTTCATAAAAATTAACGATTACAAATATGGGGGTTTTATTCATTACACGAACTTGGCGGTTGGCGATGGCACCGAGGTGAGGAAAATTTTAAGGGGAAAGTCACTTTCGGAGAGCCTTCAGGACGCCCGGTGGCTCATGTCAGTCAGTAGACTCCCAGTCAGAGCGGTGGTGTCCTGGTGTTGCTTTGTTAAAACAAAAGAATGTCCGATGAGACACTGTGAGGAGGATGAGACACAGCAGCACCTCCTGATGGACTGCTATAGGTCTCAGGAGGTCTGGAACATCTTAGATGGTCTTGGCCTCTCTTTCATACGTAATTATAGATCTGTTACATACGGACTTCTCGAAGAAATCATGCCCACAAAGAAAAAAGAACTGTTTCAACTTGTCATCAGCATCGTTTGCCAAAAACTTTGGAAAACTAGATGCGTCGCAAGTATTCACCAGACTGTCATAGACAGCGACATGGTCGTGAAACAGATTCTGACCGAACTCCGCAGGAGGAGAACGTTGGACAAGACGCAGTCTCTCCCCTGGAGCTCACTGGATTTATGAGGGATAGAGCCCCCCCCCCCCCCCCGAGCAGCGACACTGAGCACTTTAGCTCCTGGCACCTTCTATTGTTGGGTAAGCACTTTATTAATGTATTAATGTATTTCTTTGTAATTAGTCTTAATTATTGTGTGTGATGTGTAGGCTATTTAGGAGTGTTTTTTTTTTAGAACTGTTCTGTCCTCTGTCATGTTTGAAATTCAATAAAGAACTTAAAAAAAAAAATTAAGGCTCCGAAGAAGGGCTCAAAGAAAGCCGTCTCTAAGAGCGTCTCCAAGACTGGCAAGAAGAAGAGGAAGACCAGGAAGGAGAGCTACGCCATCTACGTGTACAAGGTCCTGAAGCAGGTCCACCCCGACACCGGCATCTCGTCCAAGGCCATGCTGATCATGAACTCGTTCGTGAGCGACATCTTTGAGCGCATCGCCGGCGAGTCCTCCCGTCTGGCTCACTACAACAAGCGCTCCACCATCACCTCCAGGGAGATCCAGACCGCCGTCCGCCTGCTGCTGCCCGGTGAGCTGGCCAAGCACGCCGTGTCTGAAGGCACCAAGGCCGTGACCAAGTACACCAGCTCCAAGTAAACCCGCTGCTACACCCAGCAACACAAAGGCCCTTTTCAGGGCCAACCCACTGCTTCAACTCAGAGCTGCTTTCCTCCTGGATCGTTCATTCATAACTGGTGTTGACACATATTAGCTTTTCTCTATATAAAAGTTTTGTTGAACTTGAAAATATAACTTGTGTATTGAAACAATAAGCATAATATCTAAAGATGTTACAAGTCTTAACACGAGTTGTAGTCAATAGTGATGCCAAAGGAAACATTATGTGAAGTGGTTCAGTACTCGCTTCATTCAGGAAATGCACAGCACTATCTACTGGTGAAGATGTAGCCCAATGTAATTTATCGCACTCCTGTGATTTTACAGCTCAGGAAGGAATTCCTCATTTCATGTTAGTTAATTACGACCCGTTTCTCATATTTTGGTCCTAAAATTCACTAGTACAAATGGGTGAGACAAAGCAATTGGCAGCAGGAATCATAATTGAGACTTATGTCGATACCTTGCTCGGTCTCATTAATGGTATTTGGCCTACTTCTCTGTGCAATGTTTTCTATTTTCCCTAGAATTTAGACCAATTAGGAAAACAGTAGGTTGTGTAATTTTTTTGTAATTGTACACAATAAAACAGGATCAAATTTAATTGACAAAACTTTCACAATGTTAAACATCACACAGACGTTTCATACCGACAATCTGATGAAGAAATATAAGTTTATAAAATATATTTTGTAAATACACTAGTTTTAATCAGGTCAAATTGTGTCAACAGTAAACACACACATGAGTTACAGATATTTAAATTTGCTCTTAGTTGTAGGTACTACCCTAAATTTGTATTTGATAAATAAGACCAGATTTGTGACAGATCTTTGTGTGAATGTTGTCAGAATCAGATCTTGAGGTTCAACTTCTATCCAGTTGTCCCGGTCTGGGGTTCAATTCCCCGGTCTTACTACTGTCCACTATCCTAACGAGGAAAGTACAAAAATGTGTTCCTAGAGGAAAACCAGATTCATGGAGCTTCTAACAGCTGGAATCATTCACCAACAACATTAGTGTTTTTTTTTTTTTTACCACAAGGTGGCGCTGTTTCCTCTCCTGTCTGTTTATGGAGCTGCCTGTAGTGGAATTACCAAATTAATCTGATGAAGTCCTGTGTGCATATTGACTTTGCATGTTACCCTTTATAACACAGTCACTTTTCTCTCCCACTACGATCCTGCTGTAAACCATATTATCTTTTTTTTTCACTCTGTGTGGCAGAAGACAGAAACATTCATTATTGTTATCTACAGTAACAGGATCGCATGATTTCAACCTGATGAGACTTTTTTGGAGGTGCTGAAATTAGTATCTGTGTGGATTGTGGTGAGATTTCTGCCTGATCACAAGTATTTTCAGTTAGTTTCGTTTCGTCCGCAATAAAAAAAAATATTATCATTAGATTTTTTTTTAAACATTTTATCCGCAATCAATAAAAAGGTCTACGGAATCCTGGAGGGACTGAATATGGTGTCTTGCCTCATCTCGTGAGCCAAAGCCCCCCCACATACTTGCTTTTAAATACACTTTTGCGGATGCAAAAAGGCTACCACGTGTGTTCCTTTGGGGCATAGGCAGGATGTTTAGAATAAAACTCCAGAAGCTGGTCTGCAATTACCGAGATCGTTATGATGCCTCATTAAAATGGTGGTTAAGGAAGATAATCCGGTGTCAGTGAAGGATGATCCGGCCCTGATCTGCCCCCTAATGGATTTACGTTTAATCCTCCAGGTGCACGCAAACTACGCAGGCAAGAATGTGAACAATGCCTGTTTGCGTGTCAAGTTAAAAAGCAGAAGTATATCGGGGGTTTAAGTGTCTCGTCACACCACTACTAGTTAGTACAAGTGGTCCATGGTGTATGTTGTAATTTGTTGTTCTGTAGTACAGAATATAAAGGCAGCTGAAACAGATTTATTTTTTGGTTATATAAATAAATCTGATGGTGGATTTGGAACCTGTGTGTAAGTTTGATCATTAATAACCTTTGATTTGCTGTATCTGATTTTCTGAGCTTGCAAGTTTTAAAGAGAGACATTTCACCTTAATGTTTTTATTTTTACACAGTCTATGATTTAGTTTAAAAATTAGACCATAATAGAACTACCAGATCTACTATCAGACATGGTTTGTTTTATGAACATCAACATTGATTTCACCCAAAATATTTAGATTTTATTTACGTTATGTTTAAAGGTTTTACCTCTTTTACGAGGAATTTATGTTATGCAGATTTATAGCAGATTCATAAATCCCTCTCAATATATCATTCAGAAACTTAACCTGAACAAATCAGACAGAAAGCTGGTCTGGATTCAAACTGAAGCTGCTTAAAGTTATTACAATAAGTCAGGTCTCTGTACAGGAAAGAAATTGCAGGCTACTTTCTGTTCTGTCATGTTAAATGTAACATTTGGTGGAAACGGAAAGTCTTTTCCAGCAGATCCATCTGTGACAGGAGTCCATCCAACCGCCTGAGTCCCCGACAGCAACCGTGTGTTTACCCCCACAGAAAACGTCTCTGATTAAAACTAAATTAATCACATTATTGCAGCGATTTCAGTTTTATTTTATCCCCACACGTCTCTGCTTGCTGGAAAACCACGGTCACATTTAATAGAAATTCTTTTTAGTCATTTTTAGAGACGAAATGTGAAGAAAACTCGCCGCAAGTTGTCCAAAGTGATGGTGTGTTGGAGAGGTTTGAAGCATCCTGGGATTAAATGAATGAGTCCTGGTCGCCAAACACGAACTCAGTCTGAAGCGAAGAACTTTTTCTCACTCATAAAATTGCATTTATGGTCTAAAACGATCGTCTTCTGTGTATTTTATCGCCAAAATGCGGAAGAGAAAACACAAGTGTCGCCACATTTGCGGCGGGCGGCGGAGCGGCTGCGTGTGTTGCCTCTCCACGGTTCTCATGTGCTTTATAAGTCCCGCCTCCTCTCAGCTCGGACACCTTCAGACAAACACAGCAGACAGAGACGCAGAGATGGCGGAAGAAGCTCCAGCAGCGGCCCCGGTCAAAGCCCCGGCCAAAGCCCCGAAGAAGAAGGCGGCTCCCCGTCCCAAGAAGGAGGGCCCGACCCTCCCGAAGCTCATCATCAGCGCCGTGGCTGAGTCCAAGGAGCGCAAGGGGATCTCGCTGGCGGCCATTAAGAAGGTTCTGGTGGCAAAAGGCGTCGATGTGACCAAAGCCAACAAACGCATCAACACCGCCGTGACTAAGCTGGTGACCGGAGGAACCCTGGGACAAACTAAAGGGACCGGGGCCTCCGGCTCCTTCAAGCTCGCCAAGAAGGAGCCCAAAGCCGCCAAACCTGTCAAGAAAGCGGCGCCGAAGAAGAAAGCTCCCGTTAAAGCCAAGAAGCCCGCAGCCGCCGCCAAGAAAGTTACAGCGGCCAAGAAACCGGCAGTTAAGAAGCCAGCGGCCAAGAAACCGGCAGCGGCAGCAGCGGCCAAGAAGTCCCCGAAGAAGAAGGCACCGGCGAAGAAAGCCGTGAAAAAGCCGCTAGCGAAGAAGAGTCCCAAGAAGACCCCCGTTAAAAAGCTCAAGGCGGCCAAGAAGCCCGCTGCCAAGAAAGCTCCGCTAAAGAAAACTGCAGCCAAGAAGACCAAGAAGTGAAGCGGCTCTTTAATCCAGCACTCAGTGCACCAAAGGTTCTTTTAAGAACCACCACAGCTTCACTAAAGAGGCTTCCTCATTTATTAGTACAACTAAAACACCTTGTTACACAACAAACCCACTCTGAGCTGCAATTAGACAACACAACTATACTTATATTATACATACATGTGTTATTAGTATCATATCAGATGGTGTCCCAATATTGTAAAGTTGGTAAAATGCCTAATAAATCTACTCTAGTGATAATTTTTTTTTCCAACTACAGGTTGCTTTAAAAATACTTGACAATATAAAAACATTTATTGTAAAACCCCCAAAAGATTGTAGCGTAAGTAAGAAAATCAAGAACATGCTAAACAATTGGAGTAAAATTGTAACTGCTTCATTTTAATTTCTATAGTCTCAAACAGGTATTTGATGTGTGGCAGCAAGTGACCTTTCTCTTTTATCAAACATTCAAACAAACATTTGTGTTTGAAGGTAAGACACCAACGAGATGACTGATATAAGAGTTTAACATCCAATTTAGAAGGAACTCTATGTGCACAATTACAACAATTTGTGTAGTAAAGTGGTTTGATCCGTTTCACTCTGTATGTTTAGTGGAATTTAAATCAGACGCAGGTTCAATTCCCCACTGTGACAAATCAACCAATGAGTCCCGGAGCAAAACACTTAACCCATAATTGTTCTAGAGGAGTGCGTCCTCTGACATTTACAGTGATTGTAAGTCTCTTTGGATAAAAAGCACCAGCTAAATGTGCTTTGTTCCCCATATATTGATTATTCATTTGTTTAAATTGTGGTTTTGTTCTCATAACTTGACACGTTACACGTTAACTAATTAATAATCCTTCATTTCCGGATAAAAGTATCCAAACTTTGAGTGATAAATCTCACATGATTGGATTGTACTGCCTCTAACTGAGTCCTACAGAAAAAATTATCCAGGCTATGTTCAGCCTAATCTTTAACTACATTGTTTTCACTTTCTGTTTAATGGATTAAAGGAAGTCATTTTGCGAGGTCAGTAGGCTACTTTTACTTTAGTAATTTTACTTAAGTACTGGATTTTACGTGTGATGAAGTATTTATACGTTGTGATATTGACACCTTGGATTTCTACCTCTTCAAACACTCTGTCCCACTTTGCAACATGACTTGTAACAACAATCTTTGAACAATAGCGCCGTCTAGTGGATGAACTCAGAAACACTGTTAATGTAGGACCTTGTATAAAACCTGTATTTGCTTTTTATTAGGCTGCACAAACACAATGAATTGTGGGATCTAACTATTAGACTGAGTGTGTTTTTACATTCATTCTTGGAATATAGCTGACTGGTCTAAAGGCCATGACATGGTGCTATATTATTATATTAGAGATTTCAAGGACGACTTCTTTCAATATCAAAAACAGATCAACATCTTTTATTTACCTGGATCTTTTCCCCATATTTGATACCGACATAAATGTTGTTTTAAAAGCTTAATATTTGTTGCGTACCTCAAATGACCTGCTGCGCATTAACCCTGTACGTTTGTCTGTAGTCGAGCATTTGATGGTATAAAATTGTGGGTCAAACCTTGATATTGTGAGCAATACAGTGAGAAATGATGTTTGTATCATGTTCAGCTGTGCTGGTTCTGCTAATAAAGGAAAACAGTCACTGATCTAAAATAGATGGATGTAGATTTCTATGTACTGAATATAAAACCAAAATAATAAAATTCATTCATAAACATGAAATAAAATGTCCTCAAATCTTGCTGGCGGGCTACCTTACACAATAGATAGAGGAAGTAACATGTGACGTCACAAGATATTCAAAAGACAATGTTGTCATACTTCATTTCTGTGTTAAATAGAATTAATAAAACACCATAATTACTTAAACCTTTGTTATTATACAAGTGCAAAAAAAAAAAAAAGATGGACAGTTGGAGGTGTTCATTTATTATATCCATTTCATTTTGATTTTTAACAACAACAGTGATGTCATCAGCGTATGCCAGAACGACCGCCCGCTCCCCACTACTGGTTCTGGTGCCACTCAACCTATCATCGTTCTTGATTCTCATCAATAATGGATTTACAGCTAACACGTAAGGGGCAGCTGATAAGGGGCAACCTTGTTTAACTCCTCTCTCAATTTTAAATTTGTCTGTTAAAACTCCGTTCACATTAATTTGAACTGCTGACTGAAAATATAATAACTTAACCATATCTATAAAACCTTGCTTAAAACCATAAACTTTTAAAACCTCCCACAGATATTCACGAGATATAAAATCAAAGGCTTTCTTCTGGTCAAGGCCTATAATAAAGAATTCTTCCCCTGCGGTATTGCTAGTTATGTCTCTCAGTATCCCTAAATTATCCCACATCAACCTTCCCTTAATTGCACAGGTCTGTTCTTTTTCAATTATTTTCCCCACGGTATCATTTAGTCTATTCATAACTATTTTTGCAAGAATTTTATAGTCTACATTCATCAAAGTGACGTGTCTCCAATTATGTATTTCCTGAGGGTCTCCTTTCTTATAAATAAGTGATATAACTCCATCATAAAATGAGCTGTGTAATTTGCCTGTGTTGATGCCCTCGTTAAAAACTGAGATGTCATCTATACATGTTTGATAAAATTCACTAGGAAGTCCATCTGGACCTGGTGCTTTACCTTTATTTAATTCCAGGATGGCTTGTTTAACTTCATCTACAGTTATCGCTTCACTTAATGAATTTTGGCTAGCACCATGCATTTGAATGGGATCAAGAAATGTTTTTAATTGAGCCTCATTTGTATTTATTTTCTTGTACATTTTTTCACACAGTTCTCTAACAGTTTCCCTTTTTGTTTGCTCGTCTTTAATTAATTTGCCCATTATCATTTCTAATTCCGGCGATGTATTTGTTTCTTTTTGTGCATGTTTATTAAGCCTTGAGCATTACCAGAGGCTGCTATGTTATTGTCTAACCCTGCCTGTAAACAGAGCCAGTGAGACACATCATTGTTCATACGGGTCAATTCTGATTCAGTTTCACTGAGAATGTTTTTTTCTTCTTCCGTTTTAGGTCCACATATTTCAACATTAAAACTCCATATTTTTATTATATATTTAAATTTTTAAAAAAAGTCCAAGTCTTTCTTTCATGATCTCCCATAAACAAATATCTGATTTGGTTAAAATGTTCTTTAGTCCTTTACGATTTTGATTTCATTCTTCAATTCTGCAACTACATAATGAGTATTTAAGCAATTAACATTTAATTTCCAATAGCCTTTTGTCTCCGTTTTACCAAAGCGCAGAAGAGTTTCAACAGCTAAGTGATCAGAATTCACCAGTACCTTAGTTTTAAAACATCTTTTACAAGATTCACTCATATGTTTAAGTGCCCGTCCTTCTCTACAGGACCTGAGGGGCTGAAAGTGGATTCGATCATTAGCGTCTGTGTAAACGTTAAAGTCTCCACACAGGACGGTATGATATCCCACAACTAATAACTCGTGCAGTTTGGTTGAGGAGTCAGGAGGAGTATATACACATTTATAATTCTCATTTTGACACTTTCATAAAAACAATCAACTAATAAAATTCTCCCTGGAATAATTTCTCTAGTTTTAATAATATCCGCTCTGTTTTTAAAAAAAAAAGATACCTACACAGTCAGCTTTATCACAGCCAATCGAAATAATAGACGGACCTTTTGTCCACATAGAAGCTACATCTGCTTTATCTTCATTCGTTATCAATCTTAATCCTTGTGTGCATATAATATCATACCGTGAGTTAAGAAGGGTCATTTTCCTAGTTCTGTTCTCTAAGAGCCTCTCAAATTACATGTGGTAATTGAAAGTAAGGTCATATTGAGAGAGGTGTCATATCCAGAGATGCAAAATCAAACAGATACTTTCATTTAGACCTTGATTTTTGTCAGAGGTGACGTTTGTCTCTTTTGGGTAACACTCACATGTTCCTCTAGTTGTTCTGCAGCAGGGGAGTCCTCCCCTCCACTGGAGTCCAGCTCACTGCTGAGGGCCTGGATGCCAGACAAGCCTGGTTCTTCGCTCGCTGAGTCAGATGTTTCGTCCTCCTCCTCCTCCTCCTTTCCCTGACCCCCTGGACCATCCTCCAGACCTCCTCCTCCTCCTTTCCCTGACCCCCTGGACCATCCTCCAGACCTCCTCCTCCTCCTTTCCCTGACCCCCTGGACCATCCTCCAGACCTCCTCCTCCTCCTTTCCCTGACCCCCTGGACCATCCTCCAGACCTCCTTCTTCTCCACTGTCAGAGGAATCAGAGGAGTAAATGAAAGGCAGACTGACCTCAGCTGCCTGGTCCAGCAGGGACTTCATCTCTCCGTCCACCTCCTGTCGTTGCTGCAGTTGCTGTCTGTCTGTGGATGCCGCCTCTCCGATGTTCACGGCCGACGGATGTTGGAGACGCTGTTTTCTTCCTCCAGTTGCTGAAGGATGTCTCTTTATGGCTGCATCGAAGCCTCTCCCTCGGCCTCTCCCTCTTCCAAAGGGCAGTCGTATCCCTGCCTCCATCCTCTCGGTTCTCTGCGCCAGCTCTGGTTGAGTCACCATCTTCTCTGGTCTCTGGACCACAGGAGCCATGTTCACGGCTCTTTGTGTTGGCCGCGAGGAGCTCTGCACTGGGGCTGTCGTCTGTGGATCGTGGGCGCCCTCTTGTGGGGTCTGTGTTTGTGACTTCCTCTGTGCTCGAGCTTTGTTGCTGTAGGAGTGGGGGCGCTGGAAATAAGAATGCCCTCCTCCTCCACACAGACTGCATATTGCAGGGTTGTCACAGTCTTTGGCTTTATGGCCCAGACTCCCGCATCTCCAGCACTTCACTTCCTTGCAGTCCTTTACTTGGTGCCCGGCGCTACAGCAGATAAAACATCGCGCCACCTGACTGGGGTAGAAAATGCGGCCGCTGTAGGGACCAAGTGAGATGGAGTTCGGGATGCTCTTCCTTTGGTTTTGATTATCTCGTTGTATTCCAAACCGGTCTAAAGACTTGATCGGCTCAAATACAGCTTCATATCTTGATCCGACACTCGGCCTGTCCAGAAATTAACCACTATATTAACCATGTCAAGAGCAACAGATGATTCAACTTGCCAGTTTTTCCAATTGCCCTAATTTGCGTTTGCTGCATAATGCTCAAAAAGGCGTCGGAGTGCAGATTCTTGAAAGAAACACAGTTCGAACTCTCGTCTGTTAGGTAGAGCGATAAAAGAGTAAACGTCTTTTGCGTTGATCACATGGGATTTAAACAGCAGCTCCTTGCCCACATAGTCACGAGATGGAGGCTCTCCTTCCGCTGTGAATTTCAGCCTGGCCCAATTCTGGGAAAAGCGGGAGCCAAAAGACGCCATGTCCCCGGCTAGCTCCCCTTATTCCAGGCAGCAGTGGAGTTTTTAGGATTTAAAAACTGTTTTTTGTTTGTTTTGATCACTGTCGATTAGTAAACTACTAATAATGGACTTCAATTTCCTCCTTTGCCTCTTCCGCTCATCTTTCAGGTTTCTTCGTTGAACAAACTGATGAATTTGAGGGTCGACACGCGCTTTTTACATCTTATCTCCAGACGTAAAAGAGGACAGAAGGCGCGAGTTCCACTGGGCGGGGCCAAACTCAGCGGCTCCTCCTACATCTTTAGCAGCCATCTTAAAGACAAAAATGATTCCTTTTGATTATCTAATTGAATTATTTTCACGTTGGTCTACCTATTTTATAAGAAAACTTACACAAAATCATATTTTTATTGGCTGGAGCCAATCCCAGCTGACATCTGGCGAAAGGCTGTAAACTGGTTAATTTTGAATAATCAATACACAAACGGAGACAAATGTCCACAATACATTAATATCATATTACATATATGATATTGATTGAGTGAAGAAGTAGGTGAGTAGTAGTAGTTGACTGGTTTATTAAAGATAGAAGAGAAATCACAAAAGCCAACAGATCGTGTCGGCCACCAAAGGAAAGGGAAGGTTGTGTATTCATGTAATCAGTAACTTTACCTCCTTAAATATTTATTGCAAAAAGAGAAATAAATTGTACATGAGAATAAAGAAGCACTGATTCCTGATAAGTCACATATTGCATATAGATATTTTGCAAACATGTAATTTGTAATGTGGTTCTAAAGGTTAGTTTGCTGTCTAACTATGTGCGTTGTAAATGTTCTGATAATGATAATCCAGCACATCTTTGTAGTAGCATCCATGTTGACGCCACATTTTGACTTTAGAGCACATGAACACACTGAACCTTAAAGGAACGACTGAACCAGCTTAATACTAGAAACATGCCTGTAGGATACTACTGGAGTATCTGACCGAGCGTGAACAACTTGATAATATGATTCATACAACTAAACTATGTAGTGACACAAGTGTAATGGTTTCTTTTTATTTGTATGTATAAATATTGAATTACGTTTTTTACTTTACATTTTAAGAAATCTAACATATAAATAATATTTTAAATAATGCTGTTACTAAAAAAGAACCTTAGTGTAATTAATCTCATATTCCATAAATATTGAATTGTATTCATTGCTTTTAGTTTGGACTACCTTAGTTAATTGATGCTTTTGGCCAAAGTGAATCAGAGGAAACACATTCAACCATATAAATACAACATTGCAAGATTTTTGTTAATGTGACAACATGGCTGTAAATCATAAAGCCCAGAGATTTGATCTTTCCATACATTTATTCATTTAGCTGAGGCTTTTTTCCAAAGCCACTTATGAGGCCTCTGGAGCAACTAAGGGTTAAGTGTGTTGCTCAGGGACACACTGGGGTCTCCCAGTACCATCATCACCTAATGTTAACTGGTGGAAACAGTATTTAGTTTGTTTAGTTATTGGGGTAGTGTTATTTAGCCCAATTCACATTTATGCATTTTTAAAGGTCAGGAATGAGATTAAGAGAATCTTTGGAGCTACAGAAACTCTAATCATGAATTATAAGTCAGAGCAGGAAGTGTGTCTTTAGTTTGAGATGTGTGGCTCTTAAAAGAGCCGTTGTGTTGTTTGTTGTTGTTGTTGTTTACTTCTTGGCGGGCTTCTCGGTCTTCTTGGGCAGCAGGACCGCCTGGATGTTGGGCAGCACGCCGCCCTGAGCGATGGTGACTCCGCCCAGCAGCTTGTTGAGCTCCTCGTCGTTGCGGACGGCCAGCTGCAGGTGACGGGGGATGATCCTGGTCTTCTTGTTGTCGCGGGCGGCGTTTCCGGCCAGCTCCAGGATCTCAGCGGTCAGGTACTCCAGCACCGCCGCCAGGTACACGGGGGCTCCGGCACCGACGCGCTCCGCGTAGTTTCCTTTACGCAGCAGTCTGTGGACACGGCCGACGGGAAACTGCAGCCCGGCGCGGGAGGAGCGGGTCTTTGCCTTTGCTCTGGCTTTGCCTCCGGTTTTACCTCTTCCAGACATCGTGTGATCTTTCTAGAGTAGAGACTCAAAGAAAATGTGGCCCCGGCAGCCAAAACCCTCCTTTATATGTCCGCGCAGCGCGCGGGACGGTTTCTTCCAGACCAACCAGGAAAGAGGCTTCCTGCAGAGCAGCAGAGGGCGGCCCGCTCTGCGTTTAGGCGGAAAGTTTGAAGGGATTTTCCGCCAATAAGCGGCGGAGATTCAGGCGGTGGGTCGCTCCTCTAGGCGGTGCTGAGCTCCAGCAGGGGCCCCTCACCAATCAGGAGCCGGAGGTCTGAAGCAGCGTCACCGCTTCGCAGCCGGTCCCGCAGTTTAAGAGCAGCGCGGCTCCTCTCTTCACTACACTTTTCTCCTGTTTAGAGAAACGAGACGCGATGGCCAGAACCAAGCAGACCGCCCGTAAATCCACCGGAGGAAAAGCTCCCAGGAAGCAGCTGGCCACCAAGGCTGCCCGTAAGAGCGCCCCGGCCACCGGCGGAGTGAAGAAGCCCCACCGCTACAGGCCCGGTACCGTGGCTCTCCGAGAGATCCGCCGCTACCAGAAGTCCACCGAGCTGCTGATCCGCAAGCTGCCCTTCCAGCGCCTGGTGAGGGAGATCGCTCAGGACTTCAAGACCGACCTGCGCTTCCAGAGCTCCGCCGTCATGGCTCTGCAGGAGGCCAGCGAGGCTTACCTGGTCGGCCTCTTCGAGGACACCAACCTGTGCGCCATCCACGCCAAGAGGGTCACCATCATGCCCAAAGACATCCAGCTGGCCCGACGCATCCGCGGAGAGAGGGCTTAAACTCCCCCCACACCTCTTTACACCACAACGGCTCTTTTAAGAGCCTCCTCACTAAAGCTCAAGAGCTCCTTCCTCTGATCATGTTCATGTATTTTGATGGATTATGTTCACGAAAACCACTACATATTCAAACACTGATGCTCACAGTAAGAAAATATCTTATTTACAGAAACTTAATATTTCATCAACAAGTTCAAATAAGCTGAAATCTGATCGCTGAGTTCAGCAATTATGACTTTATGCCAAAATGAATCTCCTTCACATCAGGCTGCTTACAATATTGGAAATGTCTTGTTTTGAACAAATGATTTGCCGTCATTTTCAGATTTCTTATAAAAGTAGGCCTATTTAAAAACAGAAATTGGCTACAGCCTGTGAGAAGTTAAATATAAAAATTGAACAAACTGTTAAAATAGAACATTTTCAGAGTATTAGAGCGCTGCTGAAAGAGAGAAGACAGCTAATAAACTACATTCTTACTGCAACCAATAACCACCAGAAAATAATTGTTGGACCTGCAGAATGGCCCCTGATGAAGCTTCACTGAGGCAGACCGGGTTGTAACAACACCAATTACACATAAGATAGTTAGGTGATCATTTTAGTTCTTACCTGCTTCCTCCCTGATCTGGCACGGTGGTTATCAAGATTTTGAGGTAAGAGTAAATTTTTCCGACCAAGACTACATTTTGTTTAGTGTCTATAGACTCAGATGTTAAAAATGTGTTGTGCAGAATTTAAACACATGTACAGAGTGTGTTCAGGGACAACACGGATAGTGTCAAATTCAACACAATAGATGTGTAAACTTTTTTAACACACAAATGTGTCATTTTAACACAAGTTGTGTCGGGTCATTTAACACACCGCGGTGTAGCTGACGACCAAAAACTGCAAACGTGCAACACAAGTAAATGTTGTTGCCAGGAACTAATGGAGAGAAAGATATGTGAAAAAAAGCCATTTAATCAACGGTGAAATGTCGACAGGCTACAGAATACATGAGCACAACAAAATGTTACCGCTCAACTCGACACGTTCATGCAATTCCTAAAAACATATAGGATATATAACATACATACATAAAACAACAAGTTTGCCTGAGTTTTTGATTTAGGATGTAATAAAAAACCAAAGCATGCGATGACTTAGATGACTACATCATAACTGTACCTTTACACTACATGGGAAGTGTTTCCAACATAACATAGTTGAAAATAGTGCAAACACATTTTAAATACATGTACAATAAAACCTTTAGGCGTCTTTAAATTGTCAATTACATTAACAGTTGAAATTACATTGTTAATTTGAAAATGAATAAATTAGTGGATTCATTACACGTTCAAAGACAATAAGGACCATCTGCCTTCTTGAGAACTAAACAATCTTGTACCTCGGGTTTAAGTATAGTTCATGTGTATTGATTATTGATTATGTCTAAAAGGCCTGACTGCATCAGACAGCTTGATCATTTCAAATTCTTTACTTTTTTTATAGCATAGGCATAAAAATGCTCATCAAAGTTCTTTACTGTAAGACGTCTTACACACATTAGAAAGGATTCAGCACGAGTTATTTCCCCAAACACTGGCTCTCCTTTGTCGTCTACTTTAAAGTGGCAGAACAGATCCAGTTCTGTAAGTCTGGCCGAGCGCACCAACAGTGTTTGCAACATGGACAGTGCTGTTCGAAGCAATGCTGTGACAGGGGCAACAAAAGACTGGGAAAGTTGAGGAATGCTCAAAAAACAGCTGTTTGGATCTTTCCACCGGTGAACAGGTTAAGTGGAAACAGGTGAGCGTCATGATTGGGTATAAAAGGAGTCATTCACAAGCAAGGATGTGGAGAGGTTCACCATTTTGTGAACAACTGTGTGAGCAAACAGCCCAGCAGTTTAAGAACAACGTTTCTCAACGAGCAATTGCAAGATATTTAGGGATTTCATCATCTATGCTCCATAATATCATCAAAAGATTCAGAGAATCTGGAGAAATCTCTGCACATAAGCGGCAAGGCTGAAAACAAAGGTTGAATGCCTGTAACCTTCGACCCCTCAGGCGGCACTGCATTAAAGTCAGCTGCAGTTCAGATCACAACGTGGCACCGTTTGTTCTGTTTATTGAGCTGCTTGGTGGAGAATGATCAACTCTGCATGTTAAACTTGAAGCACTTCCAGCACAGAACCCATCACTCTGCAAAAGACTCGGGAAGCTCCGTGTAAGTGACATGTGGAGTGTGTTTTGCTTATTTGAAGTTTTACAAAGAATTCTCTTTGATCGGAAGCAAAAGGTAAACCATGTTTCTGCCCGGCCTCCAACCGGGGGACCTTTTGCGTGTTAAGCGAATGTGAAGGTGATGCTTTCAGGAACACACAAGAAATTGGTCTTTCATGCGTATGTGCAGTGTTCTGACCGTCCAAAACTAAATTCAGACCAGGTTTATAATCGTTAACAAAAACTAGGTGTGAAAAAACATTTCCTGAAATAAAATAAGTGTTTACAAAAGAACAATAACTCACCCAGAGTACAGTGATTGTCAGCTCCTCTTGTGTTGGATCATGCAGCGATCAAGACTAAAACGAACACTGAAACTTATAAAATCTAAATAATACGTTTACCATCTTCAGTGGGGGCATCAGTCAGAATGCACAGAAGTAAGCCAGGAAACTTGGAATATCCTTTGAACAACGTTTTATTTCTTCCAACTTAAAGGTTGCATTTGTCAACATACTGAGGGGAAAAAAGCCCCCATGTGGAAGTGAAAGGCAGTGCAATCCTTAAATAAAGTGTGACCAGGTGAACTCACTCAGGTCAATGAGGAGGAATGAAAGGTGACAGCAGGAGCCAATCAGTGATGAGAAAAGAAAGGAAAGGAAGTGAATAAAAATAGAGTTAAATTGGGGTTATTTACTAGACTAAGCATTTTCAAAAAATAAAACTTGAACTAGCAAACCTGCTTTAAACAAAATAAAAACTAAGAAAAAATGCAAAACTATAGTAACCTTGGTTTTATGCTGTGTGAACTCAACTAAGATTTGACAATGAGCTGTTAGTGAGCGTCACCTTCAGGAACACACAGTTCTGGGCCAAACGTTGAACTACTGATCATATTTTACAAAGAAATAACATCATGTTTCCGCCCGGTTTCGAACCGGGGACCTTTCGCGTGTGAGGCGAACGTGATAACCACTACACTACGGAAACTGATTCTCTACCATGACCCCCCCCCCCCCTCTCTTCTATACATTCTCTATAGCAATACTTGTCACTACGGGTGTCATATATTTTTGGCCACAAGCGGGATTTTGGTGGCGCTGTTTCCCCCTTTTGGTCAAAAGTAAGGAGATCAGAACAGACAGCATCTGTTCCAGCAGCAGACACATAAACACAAGAAGTGAGATCTGAAGGTTCATTAGTGTGAATGCTGAAGGCTGAAGGCTGAAGGCATTCACACTATTGTTATCCAAAGCTTTATTATTATTCTTCCGTATGTTTTTTGGCCTTCGATAACTTCAGCATACTTTGTGCTACTACTACAACTTGGTACTACTATTACTACTACTACTACTTTAGAATGTAGGCACTCAGCTGATTGAGATGATGTAATCAGGTCAGTTTGATTGACAGACACACAAGCACACACACAGAAACACACACACACAAATTACAAAATAAAAGCCCTATTGTGTTAATCTTAGTCAGGTTGAAAAAGGCTTCTCAATAGTTCTCCGGAAACCAAATTCTTCCAAATTAAAACCACAGACAGTTAAAGCATCTTAACAGGGAATTCAGGATGAGGCTGATTTTTCAAGATAAAATCCCTCGATGGTGACAAGACCACCTATTGTTTGTGTTATGTCCTATCTGACCTATTGTTTCAAAATAAAAGCCCAAACACAGTACCTTTCACTGCAGGATGTGACACCCAGCTTCTTGAGCCTTCTTGACCTTATTGAACCTTAAAAAGCTCAACAGTTTTGATACATAATAGGCAGTATTCAACTTTTACATATCACAGACTAACTGTCCAACGGCAAGTGGCAGGTGAAGCTGGGAAAACATGTGTCTGACTCCTGGACTGTCAGCACTGGTTCCCCTCAAGGCTGTGTTCTTTCCCCTCTGCTCTCGTCCCTGTACAACGACAGCTATACCTCCAGTCACCAGACCACCAAGGTCCTGAAGTGTGAAGGATCAGGAGCAGATCTATCTTCCGTCCATCCGTCCGTCCGTCCGTCCGCCCGCCCGCCCGCCTGCCTGCCTGCCTGCCTGCCTGCCTGCCTGCCTGCCTGCCTGCCTGCCTGTCTTCCCCCTTAACTGTCTGCCTGTTTCCCCCTTAACTTTCTGTCCCTCTATCTTTTTTCTTTTGACCGACTCATTTCAATTTCCATTTATTACAGTATAACACATTTCATCATTTTAGCAACTTATTTTAGCTTCCAAGCTCTTTTTCAGTGAATTGCAACCCTAATACTTAATTT